ATTCATTTAATGTAGCTTTAAAGCCATTTGTTGCACTGTATAAAAGCTGGCAATATAGGAAAATATGTATGTGTGGTTTTCTAGGTTGAAAACTACTTGCCAACACTGATAAGCCAAAAGTAAAAATATAATAATGTTTTATGCAACTAACAGACTTCTAATTCAAAATTGTTTATTGATTTCTTTTTTCTTGAAAAAAAATTTGGTTGTACTTCAGTAAAACTTTTTTCACAGTAGTCACAAGGTAATTACACATGTGTAGAAATTTAAAATAACATATCTACTTTGTGTGAAGTCAATATTTGTGTACATATATCCACATATTTATTTGCTGCCTGCATTTTGTGCATATATAATAATGTTGATATGTTGATTTAACATTTATATAAACCATCTGCCAATCATCTTATCTAGTGACTGTGCTTATCTATTATATAGCAATTTTAACCTTAAAGATATACTATACTCATTCTTGAGTAAAATATTTTAATCAAAGAAATGCATTGAAATCTATGAAATTCTTACTGAATATATCTAATTTATAATGAATAAACTATGTATAGGAAGCGATGTTTCCTATTACAGGTTAAGTAAAGTTGGTATTTTCTTTAAAAAAAACTGCCAGTTTTTGTTTTTTTTTGTTTGTTTTTTTAATGACACCATATATTTGTATTGTGACCACCTGCCATATGTAGAACTTTAACATAACAGAACAGAACAGAACAGAACTTCGTGTGAAGTCAAAATTTGTATAATTACAAAGAGACTGTGTAGCAATTATCAATATTTTTTTATATCAAATTTGAGCATAGTATATCTTTAATGGTGCCATTGTATAAACTGATACTATCCATGATTCTTAATGGTTTTTTTAGTATATGTTAGTTGTTTACTATTTGTTATTTAAGATGATTTCAAATACTTATACCAAGGCAGGCAAAATCTGATTCGGACCTTACTGTTGGTTTATCTAAGATATTTTTTTACTAGTCTGTAAGATATTTTTAAAGTAAATTTAGGAAATTTTTCACATGGTGTATAGACTGTTGGTCAACCTCTGAAATATGGACAATTGATTTTGCCATCCCTGGTTATATATAACAGAAATAATTCTTATATAATTTTTTTAAAAATCCAACACATAATTGTACAAAAAAATACCAATAGTTTAAAAATTGAACAAAATCATTGTATAAAATAAATCTTTCAAACAGAAACTTCATATTACACCTTTTAACCTAAACAAATTATTTTTTATTCCAAATAAAAGTCACTTTAACACACACAGAATAATTCATGACAATTAAATCTTATTGCACACAGAAATAAAACGTTTTATTTCAATGAAAAAAAAAATTAAAAATCTCCTGAATCAACGAGGTCATAGTGGTGCAAGCATCTGTATACAAGTAATTAATGTAATCAGAGAAATAAAGTAACAATTATCTAACCATTCATCATTAATTGACCTACCAATCACCACACCTATCTACATGTATTCTTGTAACGTAAAATGCAGGTTTGATTTCAAACTTGCCAGAGTTATCTCTCTTTCTAGATGTATGCCCAGTACATATGCTGGTTATATGTATTCAATCAAAATGTTGTCTGCATGTAACGGTTTTAATGCATTATAAACTATACAAACAAGTTAGATCTTTTCCCCCATTTTATAAATAACAGCAGCATTTTGTATTATTTAACTGATATTTAAATGTTTCTTATTATAACTGTTTAACTATTACACTTTGTCAAACAACAAAAATATATAAAAATGTATATATATATTAAAACAATCTGGCATTACCGTTTTTTTACGATAACTTGTGACAAATCTGTACTGGGAAGACAAAACTTTGTCGTGTATATTTTCATCATATACCTTCCAATTAAATTATTTTAGTTTACATTATGAATCAACACTTTCCTAGCTGATGTGTCATAAACTATAAGTAATTTTGCTTGGAACTGTCCAATGTTAATATCAAAAACTTATAGACTAAACTCATAAAATATAGTATATGACAGTATAGTTAATGTGAGACTGCATAAATTTACAGATTGTGTTTATACTGCTAGTAATGGTTTATCAGTATTACATTTAACACTCGGAAAATTTACCTGTTCTAAATAGCAAGTTAAATCCTTCAATGAATTAACAAAATAGCAACAGTTACAGGTAGGTTCTTGAATCCCATTTTTATCATATGTCAATTTCTTCTGTTCATAGAACCATTTTTATTATATCTTCACTATATCTAACTCGTCGCTTTAACCTTTCATTTTAACAATGCTTATTTAAATCAAGACGAAATATTTCATTATCATTTTAAAACCAATATTCCATAAAATAAATTACATGTAGAAAATATACACTCAACATTCAATGATAAAAATTAAGAATTAAGAAGTTGCAGAATAAATCATAAAATAAGCAGATATAAACAAGCAAATATGCAATAACAAGAGTAGTTAATTTATAAATAATTATAAGAATCACAACTCGGGAATATCCATGGTGGTAATGCTATTTTTTTACATAGACATAAAGACATGACATTAAAACAAGAGAGCCATGATGGCCATTTAATTGCTCACCTGCATGAGGTCTGTAACTTTTTTTGTATCTTTTATGATAATCACACTAGCATTATTCCATGACCATAGCATGGTCAATTTAAATCCATTGTCAGGTTTTTGAAAAAAACATTTACTAGGGTTCGCAAGACAAATTTCATATAAAAAAATATTTCAGCTTGATCCAAAGTAGTTTCAGAGAAGTAGATGTGCATCAGCTTCACTTTTAAAATCTATTTTACCTTTTGTCACCTAAATATGAAGTGATCTCGAAACATTTAACAATTTTGCGATACTATCACGTAAGTAATATCCTAGGAAATATTCATCAAATTTGACCAAGTAGTTTCAGAATGAGATATTGCGGATGATGGATGATAACCACACATGGCCATTGGTCATACAAGCTTACATGAGCACTCAGGTCCTTTCATAATCTACAAACCATCTTTAAATAATCAAGTTCCTTTTTCTTTTTTATAATAATGACAAAAGAAAGGCAAACAGGTTGTGAATTTGGTTCCAGCTCACTAAAAATAAATTGAGCTGTGTCACGACAAAACCAACATAATGGGTTTGCGACCAGCATGGATCCAGACCATCCTGTGCATCCGCGCAGTCTGATCAGGATCCATGCTGTTGGCTATCAGTTTCTCTACTTGTAATAGGGTTGGAAAGCGAATAGCATGGATCCTGATCAGACTGCGCAGATGCGCAGGCTGGTCTGGATCCATGCTGGTTGCAAACCCATTATGTTGGTTTTGTCGTGACACGGCTCAATTAATGAAATATTGTACCAGTTGTGATAGTTAATTAAAATGAGTTGCCAAAATTTAGTAGAAGTTCGACATTAATTGACGTTTAATTGAACAATAGTTATAACTTGTAGACAGACATAAATAATTTGTACAAGTGATTAGTGAGAAGACATTAACTTATTTACTGGCCCTATAAATCAAATAACATTTTTTTGCATGTAACACAAATGGTGTCAACTTCCTATTGAATAGTATATATACAATCATTGCGATTTATACAATTTCTTTATGATGATGCGGTGAATTACACATTCGTCAGATTCATCTACTTGGATATTCACCTAAATCTGCGTACAATAACTGTTTTATTATATAAACCACAAAACAATTCTTTATTTGGTAAAATTTCAAAGTTGTCTAATGTCTATTTTTTTATGCAAACAAGCCCTAAATAAGCAATTGCAAAGTGCAGAAACTGTTTTCAACTATTCAGCATTAAATTTTGTATCCTTTTGCAAAGCAAGTAAATTTAATAAAAATGCAAATATAGAACTTTTTTATATTTTATTTTTGTATTTTTCAAAGAAAATAAGCTGTTTGAATCATTAATATCACATTAATTCAAGGTCAATGTCACATTTTCGCAACATGGAAAAATTGTAGTAATATTATTATAGTACATTTAAATACATGTATATGGCAGTCAACACTATTGATAAACTTTCTGGGTGCTCAGGTGAGTTTATTTCATATAATATATTTGTTTAAAACTAAATTTACTGGTTAAAACTAGATACAAATTATTTTCATTTGCCAAATACTGAACAAAAGTCCATGTTAGTTTATGTAAAAGTTAAGACTCTGTCACCTAGTAAATCATACATTATAAAACACTAGCTGATAAAATACAAACATAGCCATTTATACATGATAAAAATATAACTACCGTAAGTAAAACAAAACAAATTAAAATAGCTGCCCCCTAATCCCATTTCTCCCATTTATTATAATGTAAAATAAAGATTAATTTGCAACAAATACTAAAATGAAAACAAAATCTAAAATGAAATCAACAAGTGCACATATTCAATTTCAAACCTTAAAAGTTCACTTAAATACTTAAAATATAAGATAAATTTAAAAATTAAATCAATTGCAATGAACCTTAGGGGTGTGGGTTCAAACCCCAGTAGTGTCAACATTTTCCCCTTCTTCTTTTTCATTACACAGTATGATAACACATGATCCAAAATGTATCCTACTTGTAACTTCAGATAATGTCAACACATTTACAATATAATTCTTCTGTAATCGAGAAATATATTTCAACAGTTTTGTGTACAGTTATTGTAACTTATATAGAATAATAAAGAAGATCCAATGATTTGACACCATGCCTGCAATATTCTACGCCTAATAAAACATAATTTGCCAAAGAAGAGACTTACTTATAGTGTAATGAACTTTCTATCACAGTACAATGTTCTTATTTAATAATGTCAAACAAAACACAGAGAATACTTTAATCATGTCACTATTTCACCATATACATAACAGTTAAAAGAAAACAATCTAACATGTTTGAAGTTTTCATTATGCAGTCAGTATCTGCTATCTAATACAAAAATACAAGGTTATTTGGTATGTTTTATAAAATTTCTTTGAAAAAAATAACATTGTTTAGAATCTATTACATTTATATATCTAAAATCATAATTGAACAAAGAGTTATTATTATATACTAATGTTGGCAAGAAATGATAATAATGCTTAAATTCTTCTCATCTTGGTGCTTGTAATTGTAATAGGTAAAAAGTTGCATATCTAACCAGTTTCTCAATAAATAAAGAATATGTGCAGTAAAAATCATTAGCCTCAAAGGTATGACTTATGAAATTAGTCAAAATTTAATCCTGCTTCCCCATATCTCCCCCATTAACTCTTACACCACTCATAATTACCTCTCACACCACTCCTCATCATCTACCATTCACACCACTCATAATTACCTCTCACACCACTCCTCATCATCTATCAATAGAGCATGTTCCTGGGATAAAGCTGCCAGTTCTTTCACAAATTCTTCCAGCACAATAGCACAGTATACAGCATTTCTTGTCTTTACTGACTCCACCTGTTGTGCTCGTTTTTCCTCTTGTTTACGATTTATATATCTCATTCCTTTATTTCCTGCTAGAATTTCTAGTTGGGCTCCTTTCACACTTGCAGATGACCCCATTTTCTTAGCGTTTGGGCTTCTTCGAAACAGAAGTTCTGTTAAAGTTCTGTGCCTTTTTTCTGAAAATATAATGATCCTTTAATGATCAGATTCATCCAATAGGGTTAAAGCATCACCTTCCTGTATACTGATATTGAGTAATGTTTTGTTTGTTGACTCTTTCAATCATTTGTGTCAGAGATCTAGCTAAAGTATTCTCTACAAAGGTTCAGACATGTGATATGTAAGCATATGGAGTGGTTCATTGATGAAGCATATGAACATAGTTCTGGTGAAAAAGTTCATTCATAATGCTTTTTATGGATAGAAAATCAAAATAAAGTTATGAATAAAGTTATGTTAAGAAGTTCAGCCTTAGTAATAGAATGTTGTACTCTTAAGATTAATTGGTCATCAATATAAATTTTCCTGAAATTTTAAACTATTGACCAAACATAATAATGATAAATCATCTACTGACTCTGTGAAAGAAGGTATTCCTTGGAAATATTTCATAAATTATTTTGGTTAAGTTCAAATGCATAACTTAGTTACGAATCTTTAATACTGACCAAAATTTTTTTTATAAGTTCATGATGAGTGTCTTGGAAAGTGACATCCTATAAATCAAACATGAATTAAGTCTCAAGTAAATACCATAAATAGCTATCTCTAAATGAAGGGCATTAATACTGTCAAAATACATGCTAGAAATATAGAAAATATGATACTGTACTAGAAATTGCACAGTGTTATGCTGACATAAAGGTGAGTAGGACTACCCTACTTTTTTCAAATAGTCAAAAAAAAAAAGAAGTATAAATACCTTTAGACGGAATATTTGTGACAGTAGAGGCTCTGATTTTAGAATGAACTAATTCTGGACTAGGAGTTAGTGAATGCCCTCTCTCTGGTAATAAACCCTCCCTCTGTGCTAATGTTCTCCGAGCTCGAAGTAAAAGGGCTTCAAAGTTCTGTACAGTGTAAGAGTAATGGTCAACTTTCTGCCTCACACTTGTCAATACCTGTATACATAAAAACACACACTATATATCAATGAGCATATGTTACATGTAACCAACCTGTTCCTTATATATGCATTTTATACTTGGTGTAACTTAATTGACATTAAAATTTGTTTATAAACAGATGTATCATTTTTCCTGAAATACAACTTGTCATATTACATGTATTTTCCAGCTATACATGAAAGTGGAATAAAGACTGGTCTATTCAACAATGTAAGACAGTAGAATCATTGTGTTACTGTTGTATATAAACTTACTGCAATGAAGTGGGATGATCATCACTTATATTTAAAGTTCAAAGTAATATGTTTAAGAATATAAATATAGTAAAACAGTGGGGTGGTATAAAAAATTTTTTAAAAAGGGGGCATAATTTTGTCATAATTTGACAGAGTTATGTCTCTTGACTGAAGTGGGAGTGATGGTTAGTAAGATTATTCAAAGTTTTACTTAAGGGGCATAGTGAATCAAAGATATGGAACAATTGTTTTTACTGAATTCCGAAGTACTTTCATCAAAATTCTTGACAGGTATTATGTTGTCTTGCCAAGAAGAGGGGATAATTGCAATAACAAGTATTTAAAATTTCAAACAAATACCATAAAGAGTACAATAAAACTGTGGTGTTGTACAAAAATCTCCACCATAATTCTTAATGAAGCAAGGGGCATTATTTTATCAATCCTGATGACAAAGTTGTGTCCTCTTGGAGATGGGTCACCAATAAGTTATAGTTTCAAAATAAAATTTAAAAGGGTTTGGGAAATAAATTGGGTGGTACAAAAAAACTGAAAAATGTATGGCACAGGTGCTGATGCCTGGATGTGTTGAATAGCTCTCTTTATTATCTAAATATAGTAGTCATGTTAACAATATTCAAAATATAAACATAGTATATACCTGTACAAGAGATTTTACAGTGGGTTGGAACACAAGGCTATTGTTGAGCAGGAAAGACCTAAGCAGGGGTTGTTTATAAACAGCAAGTCGAGAAATAAGTCCAGTCAACATAAGGTTTACAGGCAGAGGATTCTGCATCATACCCTCTAACTTCAACAAAATTGCCATCAAAAATGGTCCTGTAATACAGATATTTTACATAAACAAATTAGACAGAAAATATTCCAACAAGTTTAAAGTTACTTTAATGAAAGTTGCAGCCACTTTACATTTAGTAGATCTACCTACATGAATATAATAATTCATTTATCACATATCTTAAGTATGAACGGTTTACAGTAAAACCATTTTTAATTATTGCCCCTATTGTGTAATGCTTACATAAGCAAGCTTTTATACTATATGTTTGTATAACACTGATGATGTCATGTTGCAATGTTATTACACTGGTGTAATAACTTTAATTGCTTTATAACCCTCCTCTGTGCTTTAGTTTATGTGATAAAAGTAGTTTAATAATGATACAAACAACATAAACCTTGGTTGGTTTACATACTAAAGCCTTTTACACTGCAGATTATAACAGATATTCAATAAAATAAATCAAAGTTCTTACCAATATTTGGAGTGGTTGACTGTTTAACAGATGTCATTCCTACACCAAGAACGGACTGTGAAGATACCTCAAGTAAGTTTGGTGCCGAGGCAGAATCTCCAGCAAACCTTACTGATTTATCTCCCTTTGATACATCCTTCGGTTCAGGAGCAGTTTGGCTTGCATCTTTATCTGCTGCTTTTGTAACAAGGATACCACCCTTCGCCTGGGCTTTATAATGATCATCAACAATATTCAGACTATCATCATCAAGTTTTTCTATGTCTGGTTCTCCAATTTTACCCTGATGCTTTGGTTTTAAGACACTTTGATCTTGCTCTGTTGTTATATCAACAAATGAAGTCACATTATTGGATTTATTTTCTATACTTTTACCATTTTCACTTCCTATCTGAGAATCTACAATTTCGAATTCTGTTCCGTTGTTGGTTTTATTTTTGGTTGGATCATCAATGATATCATATGAAGTTTCATTTATAGACTTGAACACATCTTCGCCTTCATTTTGTGACGTTTCACAATCAAAATACACCGTACTTAGTTCATTCTCATCTCCAAAATCACTATCTAGTGTTGCTTCATGACTGATGTCCTTTCTTGGTGTAGAAGTTCGGGAAACAGAGGCAGAAACACTAGATAACAGTGTGTCCAAACACTTCACACTCTCTTCCAGAGATGCTGACTTATCTACAGGACTGCCACTCTCATCTAAGTATAGCATCAATTCTTTATCTGAACTAAAGGTATCTCTGTAACTGGCCGTACTTCGTCTCAGTGGAATCTCATTATTTACAATATCACTATTCACTATTGCACCTTCTGTTGAACTAAAATTACTGTTTTCTACTCTACTATCACAGCTGCTCGAATTTATTTGTATAGTTTTATGTTTTCCTATTTTATCATTTTTATTAACCTCAATTCTCTCCCTTTCTTCAATATCACTTGAAATGCTCCTCTTTACCTCCCTTTGTTGTAAACTAGAGTCAGACACAGAAATGTTCAACATATGTGAGACATTGCCTATATCGGCCCCTAGGCAGCTGTAAGAAGGATTTTCCCCATCATAGAGATACTGCCATGTGTGACAAGCTTGGTTACATTTTTCAAGTCGTACACGAGCCTCTTGTAGATATTCTAGGTATGTTGTCTCAAAGTGTTCCAGCTTACTGCCAAATGTACCTGCCGGAAATGCCGTGCTCAACTCATTAACTTCTGGCTCACTGATAATGTAAATTTTTTAATTTCATTACATCTTACTCAAGTACAAATGTAAAAAGAAAGATATTAACATGTTTAGAAACCGAAGAAAATTCTCAAAATGATGTGAGAGTAGGATCATTAAGAATAATAAGTTGAAAAATCTCAAACAATATACACCAACATTTAATCTGTGGTGCAAATCTAAATTAATTTTTTTTTATATTTTGTCAGCAAATGTGTTGTCTTTAGACTTTGTGAAATTAAATTGCCATAATTAGATATCTATCATATACACAAAACATCTCATGATGTCAAGAGATTTATCCTAACAATTTTGTAAAAGAAAATTCTAGAATTCATCTTCTTCATAACTAATTCAATGAACAAAAAGTTGTTTTATTCTTTTTTACTTTTACAGAAATACATTCAATACTATGACATAAGAATAATTCATCAATAGCATCCAGTCATGCATTGTGTCATGCTATGCTTTCTAAAAGCAATCTAAACTCTAAAATCAAAATAATGTATATTCCCTATAAATGCCTCTGAAGGTACAACATTTCCAAAAGGGGGCAGTAATTGATTTACGAAATAATGTTAAATCTTGTCAAAATAGAAAGACTGTAAACCACTTTTCTGTCATTTTCCACTGGATTTTATTTATCTATTTTCTTTGATTTTAATAAACTGATTCTGTTTAAGTAAGTCAGTTGTTGTTTTTTTTTCTTTGTCAAAAGAAGGTGAAATGAGCTGTGTCATGACAAAACAAACATAGTGCGTTTGCGACCAGCATGAATGCATCCGCGCAGTCTGATCAGGATCCATGTTGTTCGCTATCAGTTTCTCTACTTGTAATAGGGTTTGTAAGCGAACAGCATGGATCCTGATCAGTCTGCGCGGATATGTTGGTTTTGTCATGACACGGCTCAAATTATTTAGAGGAAGGGCATTTATAACAGAAGATATTGTTGCATATTTCTCAAAAATAATAAAAGTTATCAAGAATAAACAGGGTTTGAGGGCATTAAGGTATCCAAACTTTACCTTTCAATTTGACGTTTTTTGTTGCGATCCTTCCGAGAACGAAAAACTTTAGGTAGACGAGGACCATTAGAAATGTTAGTTGGGAGGCCAGGAAGATCACCAAGGCTACAACATATAATGCACCATAAAACCACTACTACCTGTGCTATATATACTGTATACACCACACTACAATAACTTTTTTATACACTCCAATGCTGCCTTTCTGAATAAGATTGCATACATACATGAATATTTGTCTGTTTGTCTGAGTGAAATTGTGGATATTTTCTCACTTTAATACATGTCTACAAAAAGCAAACATGCATTCCTATTTACTAAAACATGTTTTTTATGGTTTGGGTTTTTTTTTCCAACTTTTTTTATTGAAGCAGCGGATGTGAACATATGTAAGGAAGATGATTTGAGACATTCAATGGCTGAATATATTTGCATAGACAAAATTAATCATAATTTATAGCAATCATTGCAGCATAATTTTTTATAATTTTAATGAAATAATGATATTCAAATGGAGAAATATGCCATAATGAACAAACTGCAACATGCATGATATACAAAATGTCCTTATTTCAAAATGATGCAGCCCCTCAATACCATGTATGCTATCTTTATCATAAAGTTTACATTGAAACAAATATTATATGACTTTCTCCGAGATCACAATGTGAAGTGCTATAATCTCATATTCGTTGACCCTTCTATATAAATGGTTCATACAAAAATTATTGTTATCTAATAAACTTGAAGTACATGATATAGCCACATCAGTCATGTATCTATCACTTGATTTATATATGTAAAGTTTCAGCCAAAACTAAGATAGCAATGTAATAATCAATGAGTCAACTTTCACTATCAGTTATTTGTATTATCTAATGCTATACTATCTATTTGTTATTTTTGTGTGTTAGTGCTACTGTCTCAGTATACTAAACTGTTTTCATAATTGTAATCTTGCCAGGATAATAATATGTTGCTTATAAAATTTCCAAAGTGGAATGTCATTAAAGAAAGTTTAGACAGGGGAGACAACTGGTGTTTCTTTCTTTCGTTATCACTATGGGAATTATGCAGTCAACAAAAAAAAAATCTCAGGTCAGACTGATCTCACTATATACTGATGCCATTGGCAAGTTAATATTGTCACCAGATATCAAAGAGTATCAAACTTTTCCTCAGAATTTTAAGAGAATGTCTTCTAAAATATTTTCAAGAATTTATTACAATATTATTTCTTGGCAAGTCACAACTGTTTACATGCTGCTAGTCATTCTGTGCATGAAGTAAAAAAAATCCCAGTGCTTTAAACCAAACTCATCTACATAACCATATCATTGCACACTTAGTGATAAATGTTCTAGATGATAATTTAATTATAATCTTCTTTTATATATTTTGCTTGATAATTTCATTATTTATTTCATTTAAAGTAAAACAGAAATTAACAAGCAAAGATTATATCAGATTTTTATTGTATGAAAGACAGAGCTAGCTTAACAGTCAAATGTTTCTCTTTCTTTTTTTTTTTACAAAAATATGCAATGATAAAGTTGAAACTATAGAAGCAAAATGTTCATCAATTCTCCGAGTTTTTTTTTAATATATTGTGTTCTCTGCATAAAATTTAAAAAAAATATAAAAAAATGACATTTTTTACTGAGAATATACAACTGACTTTCTGTTTCATGTATAATTTTCATACAGCAAATGTAATTCAAATTAACTCACTAAATAGAAAATTAAAACGATACTTTGAGCAACTATTCTGTGTGAACATTTAGCTTCTATGAAATATAATTACACTCCAAAACAGCTAATAGTGTACATGTTTATAACATACCCTGCGCTAACTTTTGGTTTTAATCTAAACAAAAACATTCAAAATAATTATAAGATGCTTGTACTATATATCAGTAGCAAATAAAAATTATCAAAGTTTAATCTTTACACACAACAAACAAAGCAAATATTTTATGTCTTTATGTCAGTGCCAGGATACATTCAACAAAACTGACTTTAACGGAGTTCTAATTCATTATGTTTTATCATCAGAACTGAATCAGAATCAAACCAAGTCCCTGAATTTAGAAAAACTTTTAAACATGTTTGTAAGACAATGTTTGGTTGGAAATTTCCATATTTGATGTCACATTTGTGAGGGTAGGTGTGATGTACACACATTTCATGAATTTTTAAACACAACTTAACAATACCAGACATGTGAGGTTACATTACAACTACTTAAGAAATACAAACATCACAACAAAAATAAACAATTAGATATATTCTGACACTGATGTTAATCCAAATAAAATCATATCAATCTGTTGAGGACATGATTTTATGGATAATTATATCCGACATTATAACAATTAAATATATGAGAAAAACAGCCTCTATTCTACACAGACTATATCAAATGCACAAAATCAAGTAGATTATGTAGAAAATACTTTATCACTTACTTGTGTTTTGGGCTGTCTATCTCAGGTAAACAACATGTTGGTCTCAGGGACAGGAACTTTTCGGCACTCTTACAGTAAATGTCATGATCTCTTACAGATCTCCTCTGACTGATCATTACATGTGTACATGGTATCAAATATCTGTAATATATTGATCATCACATGTGTACATGGTATCAAATATCTGTAATATATTGATCATTACATGTGTACATGGTATCAAATATCTGTAATATAAATACATGTATAACAAGAGCCATGTCAACATGGCCATCCCCCGCCGAATGTGTTTGCTCATTGGAAGAATGTATATGTAGTAGAGCGGAATAATTCCATTTTAAGAGGTCTTTTGGTAATGAAAACTGATGGCTATAGTGATTACAGATTTGAAACCTATGTGAATACTGATGGCTGAAAATAACAAAGGGCAATTACTGAAAAATAATGCACGGTAGGTTATCATTCTTGTGTGCTGCATCCCTCCTCAGTAAAATCTATCCACCTATGAAGTTTCAAGTTGATACCTCAAATACTTTTTGAGAAAAAAATTGAATTGAAAAATTAAGTATGAAAAAGAACAAAGGGCAATAACTCAAAAATTATAAAAGGTAGAGTTATCATTCTTGTGCAGTGCACACCTCCTGAGTGAGATCTATGCACCTATGAAGTTTCATTTTGATATCTCAAAGGCTTTTCGAGTTATGCTCTGGACAAAAATTAATTTTGAAAAATAACAAAGGGCAATAACTCAAAAGTAATGCAGGGTAGAGTTATCATTCTTAAGCACTGCACTCCTCCTCAATGAGATCCATCCACCTTTGAAGTTTCAAGTTGATACCTCAAATACTTTTTGAGATAAGCTCTGGACAAATAGCATGAAAAAAAAAAGGGCAATAACTCAAAAATTGTATAGGGAAGAGTTATCATTCTTGCGCACAACATTCCTCATCAATAAGATCTATCCACCTATGACATTTCATGTTGATATCTCAAACACTTTTGAGTTATGCTCCACTCAGGTGAAAAATTAGGTATGAAAATAACAAAGGGCAATAACTCAAAAATTATGAAAGGTAGAGTTATCATTCTTGTGCACTGCACACCTCCTGAGTGAGATCTATGCACCTATGAAGTTTCATGTTAATATCTCATAGGCTTTTGGAGTTATGCTCTGGACAAAAATCAATTTTGAAAAATAACAAAGGGCAATAACTCAAAAATCATGCAAGGTAGAGTTATCATTCTTGTGCACTGCACTCCTCCTCAATGAGGTCTATCCACCTATGAAGTTTCAAGTTGATAACTCAAATACTTTTAGAGATATGCTCCGGACAAAAATGTCGGACGGACGGACGGAAGTCGGACGGACAGAGACTATTTCTATATCCTCCGCCGAAATTTTTCGGCGGGGGATAATAACAAAACTGACCCCAGATAGGCCATGTGTGATCCCAGGGACATATCTGACAAGTTTTTCATTTTCATCTGAGACAACAGATGTGCCAAGAAAACAACTGATTTTCAGATTTTGCCAAGGGTCAAGGGGAATACTTTAATCTACAGACTGAAAATACAACCAATTTTAACAGCATTTGAACAGATGAAATGCATGGCTAATCTTTTAATAATGGTAACACTGACTGACATAACTCTTGTAGAGAACAACTAGGTTATAAGCCAAATCTTTAAAGCTATAATTAGTATTGTTTGAGACCAGAAAATTTTAATGTTATGTCTAAAAGCTTAGTACATCTAAAGTTTAATTTAAAAAAAATAATCTTTTTCTGATGTAGTAACCTATTTATATATTAAACCATAATTATTTTTAGAACTTTTATAGAGAACCACATAAAGATCATCCATGTAGAAAGATGTTGCAAATCCAAAGTAGAATGACTGACAGTCGACAATTAGTAAAAGCTGGTAGCAATAGCTTTCTTAAGCTTGATTATGATGAAAGCTTGAAACTTATTCAAACTACTCTCAAGCCCATTTCCTGGAACTAACCAGTACTATTGTCACATAGGAGATATCACCACAGCCTCAGTATGTCTTGGACTCAAAATACCTGAGCACAATGTGTCAATGTAATAATCAAAGGTAGAAAACATGCTGGTGTTACCTGAAGACAAGATCAAACATAGCATCTTCACAGTTGAGATCTATCAAGGTGAAGAACAGGGACAATGATACAAGGCACAGCTGAAATTAAACATAACAATCACTGTATAAATAAGTATGACATGTTGTTAAGTCCTTTTAAATATTAAAGTTGGTTATGATTTTTTTAAATTACAGTCACAGTGACAAAAAGATGTTGTTAAGCACTGAAGAATACTTAAGAGTTGCTGTATATCACTGTAGCATACCTTATAGCTACTGCTGTTAATCACTGTAGCATACCTTAGAGCTGCTGTTAATCACTGTAGCATACCTTAGGGCTGCTGTTAATCACTGTAGCATACCTTTGAGCTGCTGTTAATCACTGTAGCATACCTTACAGCTGCTGTTTATCACTGTAGAATACCTTACAGCTGTTGTTCTTCACTGTAGAATACCTTAGAGCTGCTGTTTATCACTGTAGAATACCTTAGAGCTGCTGTTTATCACTGTAGAATACATTAGAGCTGCTGTTAATCACTGTAGCATACCTTAGAGCTGCTGTTAATCAATGTAGACTACCTTAGAGTTGATCTTAAAAACTGTTGAATGCCTTAGAGTTGCTGTTTATCACTGTAGAATACCTTAAATCACCATTGCCTATCTTGGAGCTGCTGTTAATCACTGTTACCTACCTTTGAGCTGCCATTTATCACTGCAGTTCCTGTTAATATCTGAAACTACCTTAGAGCTGACAGCTATTACCTTGCAGCTGTTGATTATTCTACTCTAGTTATAAATGAATCTAAGATAACTATTACCTTTGAGCTGTTGATTATTCTACTCTAGTTATAAATGAATCTAAGATAGCTATTGCCTTTGAGCTGTTGATTATTCTACTCTAGTTATAAATGAATCTAAGATAACAATTACCTTTGAGCTGTTGATTATTCTACTCTAGTTATAAATGAATCTAAGATAACAATTATCTTTGAGCTGTTGATTATTCTACTCTCGTTATAAATGAATCTAAGATAACAATTACCTTTGAGCTGTTGATTATTCTACTCTAGTTATAAATGAATCTAAGATAACAATTACCTTTGAGCTGTTGATTATTCTACTCTAGTTATAAATGAATCCAAGGTAACTATTACCTTTGAGCTGTTGATTTTTCTACACTAGTTATAAACAAATCTAAGATAACTATTATTACCTTGGAGCTGCTGTTAATTCTAGTGATGAGGGAATCTAAGATAACTATTTCATCATTCTTTTCTGTAAAGATGAACATTAGGAATGCCTTTACAAGACATGGCTCAGAAATCTTTCGTAAAAATAGGTCTAGATAGGCTGTTGCTGTGATAACTTCCTCACGAGAATTCTGAATGAAAAAATAAAAACATGGTCATAGTTTACGAACAATTAACATATTCCAAATATGACTGAAACTTAATTTAACATTATATCCAATTAAAAAACTTAATCATATGAAATATAAACATAATACATAAATTGTTTAATACCAAATTTATACCAAATTTACTTAACACAATTACAAAAAGTTTATTATATATACATATCTGCAATTTACCATGCAATGTGTGACAGTTCAAAGAATAAAAATTCAGTGCAAGACAGAAAATTATCTTTGTTCCAACATTAATATAAAATTTATTGTACTATTCAATAATGTATTTTTCTCATCATTCTACTATAAGAGATAAAATAATAAGACAGTTCTATATACAAGAAGCAACTATCACAACAATGTAAATCAACTTTACAAACTGGAAATAAGTTTTTCTGTCTTGTTCAACTTAATTTACAACAGTCAGATATATAAATGCACTAAAGGAATAAAAACAAATATAAGATCACAATAAAATAATTGAAAATGAACAGAATATATCCACAAGTCATTAAAAGCATGCCAGATATGAAATAATAAAACAAATAAGTAAAATAATAAAACAAATAAGTAACAACACAAAAACATTTCCTCATCACAATAGCAAAGCTCTTTAACAATGCATTGCAAATTAATAAAACATAAATAAAATACTAGGGATGACATTAAAATAGTCAATACTAGCTGGAATAATGCAGACCAGTCCTGTCATCAGAATATAGTCAGGGTGGTCATTATACAGTATGGTAATACTGTAACATTTAATATCATTGTGAAATGAAAGGAAAGAAACAACTGCATATACAGTCTTATCAACAAATTTACTTGGAAAATGATTTGAACTTGGTACTTTAGTATATAACATCATGATAAAGGAAATTTTTTTCACAAAGCAAAAGCTTACATTCTGCCTGAAGCAAGGACTGGAGAATAAGCTCTAGTCACCATACTTTCAATACAACAGTATTTGATACTACACACTAGGACAGTGTACACAGGTATCCTTAACCATGGGGCATTTGTTGGCCTATTTCTAGCCCTACGGAGATTGTACAATCCTTTTGCAATATAGAAGAATGGCTAAATCATAAAAATGTTTATGTAAATAGCTTTTTAAAATTTGAACAATGCTGCTGATAGATTGACAACAAAGTTTTTTGCATGCAGGATTTACAAAGTGTCAATTTGACTTTTTCTCTTCTGACCTTCTATTGAAATAACAATTTTGTTTGGTAAGTGTTCAAGATTTTCATGAAGAAGTGTCATTTTGTGCATGAAAGCACCTATATCCATACTCTTATTCAGTCAAAGCACAATCAATTTTGTTTATACTTATTGACCAAATTTTTTACTGTAGGTCACTCACATTTAGCATTTTGATGTTCAAGCAATAGAAAAAGTCACTCCAAATTGATAACTACATGTAGATAAAGACCTAATTAATGACAAGTTAAATATCAACAAGTACCACTTTGACAATTTCTATTGAAGTATGACATAAAAAAGGAGACTTGAGAAATAAATGTACCCTTGATATTAATTATAACTGATTCAAGTTCCATCCAAATAATACAATTTCGTTTTATAATACTGGAAAAAGAATGGCATTAAATTTACAAAAACAGTATCAGTATGTAATACTATGTAAAACATAATTTGGTAGTTTGGTTTGTTATCAGGCAAAAAAAATCAACTAAAGATACGACAAAGGTGGGTGTTTTAAACTGCCGCCATTTACACAATGATGATCATACGAACATATCACGAACATATCACATGTACAATCACAACATCAAGATTAAGCTCTAGAGTGCGATCATCTAGGAGCTCTGTGGTAAAATACAGTCATCATACAACAGAATAGAACAGAAGCAAACAGAAGACAAGGGGAGATAAACATAAATATACTGACCGAAAACATTGGTGAATCAAGAAGAGGGGTAGGAAGCCCCGTAATGTCCTACACCATAATAATAAAACCACATATCTTATAAATGAAGTTATATATTGTGCAAGCACAAGAAAAAAACAATAAAATTGAAAAGATGGAAATTTCACCAATAAAAGCAATATATATTTATGTAAAGATTACATAAAATCACATAAGAAAGATTATTACTTGTAGCATAAAAATTCATGTCAGGAAAAAAACACTTCTAACAACATCCCACTTTTTTTACATTTTCCTTGTTGTCATTTTTTACATTTTCCTTGTTATAATGATTATAAAAACTTTATTATATTTATAGGAGGGCATTTTTTTTCCTAATTCTTATTATTGAATATTTTCAGAATTCTTAGTCAAAAAGTACACCATGAATGACCTTATGAAAATTTTACTTTTTATATTTTCCTAAGGTGGTCAAACTTATAAAGCACTAAGAATGTGTCCATATGACACGATGCCCTCACATTGCTATGTTTTGTCAGTCTATGAAGACACTACATCAACTTAGCTAGATTGTGAATGGACATACTGTTACATACAATATGTCTATATCCATGGACACCATTTTCTAGTTTAGGTATTTCATTTGCAAAACATCACACTACCTACAACACTATTTAGGTACCTGCATCACAGATATTTTACAATTTAATTTATATATTGGACATAATCATTTGATATTGACCTGTCTTACTTATTTCTATTTTTATTATTGATCTTAGAGCAGAACATTTAAATTAAAACTTTCCCCATACATATAGATATGCCTGAGCAACACATACAATATTATTAACTTTATAGAAAATAATGCAGTAACTTTCAAATACAAACGTGTATAAAATCAAAATACAAATATCACAGCTGTAACAGAAATAGATTTTTACTTTAACTCAAAACAAGAGCCATAACCCTGCAACAAAAATCAGATAAAGGAGAAAAATCAAGCCCACCAAAAATTGATTATTACTGTGTTGTAAAAATTCCATGTATTTTCAAGATCTTTACTCTTTTACCTTTCTCAAAATATACAATAACCAAAGATTTTGAGAATAACTTTATATCTCCCTAACAGTGCACCAGTCCAATAACCCCTCCCATCCCTTGGAGATAACTCACATTTTCAAACTTCTGGTAAAGGCTCCATGCTAAGGAGAAAATTCAGATAGAAAATGAACACTAAATACTCCTACATTGTGAATTGGACAGTATAAACCCACCTCCCCCGCCTCACGTCATTCTGCTGTCAAATAAAACTACCGAAATGACCTGAATGGACTTTAAATTTGGCTTCATTTTCATCATCCTTCCCAAATGGGGGAGGGTTTATAAATGACAGGTGCATTAGGTAAATTTATATTTTATATAAAGTAAAACCCAAAACATAACTTGACCATCAAATAATAGAAATGCAACTAAATTTCCCACAATTGCAAATAATCTTCAAGGTTTAAGCAGACAGGATGAAGCACCTTACCTTCCAAAGATAGCTAGACCTGTAGGTATGATATTTTTCTCGTAGTGGAGAAAATGTCATACCATTCTAATACATATAAAATATGTGATTATTTATAATGAATGTGTTGCAAGTATTGTTTCTAAAACTGTTTTCAATATACATAGTACAATCCCCTCAAATCAAGACATCAGTATGTCTTTATGGTTTAAAAATCATTATATCTAGACTATAATTATAATAAAGGAAAGTGCCCATTTTACAATGTTATTTTCATATTTACCTGTATTGTTTAACAAGATGGGGTTCCGGAAGACATTAAAGATTCAGATAGTGAAAAATGTCCTTTAATATACATTACAGTAACAAAGGGATAGGAAATTATAATGATATTAATCTGAGGTGATTTATTTTTTGTTTACAAACACACAAATACAGTTAATACAAAAGCACACTTGTATTCTTAGTCTACCACATTAAACATGTAGCAATCTTAATAAGATTATGGTGATCATAACAGAACATATGAAATTTTATGCTTAATACATTATCCATTGGTATATTAGATCAATACTTAACAAAATACATGTATAATACTCTAGTTTGATACCCCAATAAAATAACTTTCAACAAATAATCATTCATATACATTTGTAATAGACTCATGTTTTATGTTTTTCTTAATCTTGATAGAAGAGTTACTTTTACTTGCCTCAAAAACATACAATGACCAATATTTTGCGAGCTGAGGCTGACTGGACGAACAAGTGATGGTAACATAAGTTGCAACTATAGATTATATAGGCACACATAAACATTATGCACTCACTCAAAATAATCAATGATTCAATGTTATTATTACCCCTTGCTATTTTTGTAACGTTAATTTCCCATATGCCAATGGGACTTATTCTTACTGTTTATTCAAGTGTACCATGTGATTAAAAATATAATAAAATAAATAACACATAGGTTTGTTAAGTAAAAACAGCAAAAATATTATCCTTCATAAAATACTATTACCCTCTGCCAACGACATGGGTAACAGCATTTTTCTCCTCGGTTACTCCTAAGGACGATATTTTTACAGTTCCTTCTTGGGATGATTTATAGACTGTTACTCACAAACTTATGTTTTATTTATATAATATCATATTACGCAAAACCCAGGGCTGGACAATAAAGTTTGGACTTGAAAAACGTTTTTGTATTCTAGTTTTGAGCTATTTATATGATGTAACAAAGTGTAAATGATCTTTTTAGCAGATAAGTGCAGCTTGAGATATATGTGAGATTAAGGTTGAGGAGATTTACAAATTTCTGATAACTGTAATAAATCTAATCAAACTATAGTGCTATCTCTATATAGCGGTGGGGGGGGGGATAGAAATGACAAGTTTGGTTTGAGAAGAAATCACACTTGAGACAAAGGCTATCAGATGTGCATAAGATTGAAGAATTGAGATATATGTTAAATGGGTTGAAATTTGAAAATTATACCTCTTTTGTTATATTCTTTACCAAAATATAATGTACATGTTATTAATTTAGTCAGTGACATGTAGGAAAAGGAAAATATCCTTTAGTAGTATGAAGACTATCAAGACGGCACTTGACAATATCTTATGATGTTTTATTCATTTAATCAATGGCAGAAACTAAAATATGGCGCACAGACAACAGTAATACTTAGTATGAACATATCACCTCTAATAAGGGATGGCAACAAGTGACCATTCAGTAGAGTACCTAATTGAACGTCTGTATATTGATAACATAATTTGATAATTGTGTACTTGGTTAGAAAATAAAGTACATCTAACATTCTTTTTTTCAATTGTAGAAATAAAATCTCAGAGTTTCTGAGATATAATTTCACTTTAGAAACTTTTAACTTTTAAACTTGTTAATCAAAATATCATGCAAGATTGCGAAAAATTTATTGGAAATTGACAATGGTTAACTTAACATCTAAATGAGGCAATCAACAGTTTGACAGGTGTATGTTAAAATAAATAATTTTGCTTATATCATTTTCGACCACTTATTACATCTAATGAACAAAGTTTAAAAGTGACTCTCCGAAAGTTTTCCCTAGGCACTTATAACAATCTCTTAACGGCTATCTACTTTCAAAAATATAAATTTTCAGTAAAATTATAACATGTATCACTTCATATTTCATCTTATCAAAAATAACAAACAGAATTAAAAAAAAATTAACAAAGTTGAACAAGGCCAATGCAAAGAGAAGCAATCTAAAACATGGTAACACTACAGAGTTGTCTATCTTGAACAAATCTACAAGCAATCTGTCTTATACAAATCTGTATGCTGCAAACTGAATACTATGTCAAATAACAATGTTTATAATGATCATTTTACATTATAACAATTTTCATAATCATTATATTAAACATAAAAAACAATCAAAACTGGCAAACAATAACAAATTATATGATGAAATGAACAAAAAACTAGAATTGTGTCCAAAGGACACGGATGCCCCCACTGTGCAGATGTGCTCGTAAACAAGAGCATGCATATCTGTATGTAAGAATTTATGTGGAACTTTTTATTAAAATCTGCCATCCGGTTTAAGAGTTGTGTTGACAAAATTCCTATATGGTATATATAGTGAAAAAATCAACTAAGGGCCATAATTCTATTAAATTTGGTCGAAGCAAAAATTCCTTCCTTTACTACCATCTACACATTAAGGTTGTTCATCCCTGGAAGTTTAAGCAAAATCTGCCATCCGGTTTAAGAGGAGTTGCGTTCACAAAATTTCTACATAGTATATATTGAAAAAATCAACAAAGGGCCATAATTCTGTTAAATTTTGTCGCAGCGAAAATTCCTTCCTTTACTACCATCTACACATTAAGGTTGTTCATCCCTGAAAGTTTAAGCAAAATCTGCCATCTGGTTTAAGAGGGGTTGCGTTCACAAGATTTTGGGACGTACGGACGGACGAACTGACTGACTGACAGACGGACAAGTGCAACGCTATATGCTCCCACTTTGTGGGGGCATAAAAACACTCCACCTGATGAACGTAGAGTTTATATATCATGTTAGCTGCAAATGTTTCAGTTAAGAGCCTATATCAGTGCCATAACATGTTGTTTTTTTTTCAACTAATTATATGTTCAATGTTTATATTTATTCCAAAGAATGAGAAAATCCTTTACATAATTACAAGATTTTTTCAGCCAAAACTTCTTTTTATTAAATCATAAATTCTTAATCTTTATTGTTTTAAAATATAGGACATGCATTTATCACATACAGTAAACCATGGCCAGGAGATGACGTGATGCCATTTGCGTTATATATAAACATAGTGTAACTCCCTAATTTAGGATTACATTATAGGCATGTTTATGAAAAATGACCCTTTGAACTGTAAACTGTTCTTTTTTTTTTTTGATGTATGATAAAAAGAATATATTTGTGCAGGTTCTATATTATAAATTTATTGAATTTGTTGAATATAAACAATATTGTGCTTGCCCGAGGCTCACATAATATGATTTCAATTAATTAGTTCAATAAATTCAGTATCAAATCTACACTTATTTAATATCCTCTATGTGTCTTATAAATGATCTCTTCCTATTCAGTGTACAGCAGTGATTCACATAAGACAGGGTAACAGACAGATAGATCGCAATACAAACCTGATGAAGAGCCGGTCCTAGCACCGGAACAAGGAATCCATTATATATATATTTGATGAGCTGGTCTCGTACAAGCGGGTGGGCAATCTACAAGCAAAACATTTTTGTCAAGTGAATTTATCATGCACCATTATATACTCAGAAAAATAGTAAAGGAGAAACATTCTGATTCTACAAGAAACATTGTCATCTACAATGCACTGGTTTTTTATTATACAGATTTTGTGATTATATGGGAAATGTGATAAGAACTACCATATCATAATTATGATTCTGTTCAATTCATGCAAATTATTGCAAAAATATTTGATTGACACCAATCAATGGGGCAGTCATTATGTAACAACAACAGACATTTAATATTTCCTTTGTATTGTTCATATTAGAAATAATTCAGTATCAAACCTAATGATACAAAATGTACTATCAAAATAGTAACAAATGCCATCTAACCTAATTGAAAAAGTTGTTGATAAACTATCTCATAAATGTGAAAGCTTGTTACTTGTAATATTGTATTTCATAATCTATACCAATTTTAATCCAATTACTTCATGAACATTTTAACAGCATTATTGCTTTTTTCATATAGAACTCAAGACACATTACTTTTTATATGTCATTTTCTCACACAATATTTTTCCATTAATCTAAAAGTGTAAGTCTAAAAGTGTGTTTTCATTCAGGCATTTTCTTTTTCATAAAAATAATATCATCTTTAATGTGACCTATCCTATTATCTATTAAATCAAAATTAGAATTTTAAAGAATTTATTTATGTTTTCCTTTGGTTAGAGTACAATAACATTTGTAGGATCTGTAGGAGTATTAACTTTCAGCTACATTGACATGACAGGTATTTTATCCGGACAATAATCAATGCATCTTAACCACAGCAGTAAAGCCTGCAGCCATATCATACCTCTTACTTATTCTGAAAAGATTATCTTGATAAAATCACACTTTCTCATTATTCCTTTACCCTGTGATCCATCATTTATTGTCTTAATCAGGTTTAAACACACTAACAATTCTTCAAATGGAAATCTTCATGCAGCGGCAGATATGTCATACATGTAGTTTAATGTTTGCTATTTATTCTGAAAAGACTATATTGATAAACCTATGTCCCTTATTAAGTCTTAATTAATGTACAATTAAATAAACTAGAGTTGGTTATTGTTGCTTGAAATGCACCACAATATAATCATGACATTGTGGTTTTATAAGAAAACAGTATCAATGATGTGTTCAGCTAAATAATTAACCTAATTCATATGAATTTCAAATATTAAAGAAGCTTACTCTCTACAATAAATGTTTGAAGAGCTTTAAATTTTTTATGAACAATTTTACACCTACAGATATATAAAGTTGATGTAGATATCAGACTGAATTATTGTGACTAAAGAAAACAAAATAAACCCAGTTTTAAAGTGTACAAACATTTTAAATACACTACTTACAGATTATCATAGGTAGATTTTGTTTGTTTAAGAGGATTACTTGTAAATATCATTCATTCTGAATGAAAAGATATCTATCAAATAAATGCTTCAATAGTGTTTTTATAGGTTCTATATATTTAAACTCAGAGCTCACATGTAGCCAGTGAGAAACTAAGAGCAGCTAGAAGTAAAGCACTCCTGGGTGATGTTAAAGAATTTTCATTTAAAACAAATCATCATTATAAGACAGTAGTTAGCAGTAAATTCTGCAGTAACTAGCCAGAAACTAGCCAGTGGTTTTAATGGTGAGCATTATCAAACCTTTCATATGCTAGCCAAAATATGGACAGGTCTATGACACTAGTACAGATCAAGGTCAGTCTCCATCATCACGACAAAACTTTGCGATCAGCCAAATCATTTAAACAATACAAACTGAAATTCATTAATTTAACAAAAATAATGAATTTAATTGATGGTTCTGAATTAAAAGCAGGGAGAATATGTAATTATTATACACACATTCAGTAAGGAACTTGTTACAACTTACAGGTGTACCAGAAAATGAAGTTTTATCTAAATCAATGGACAAGTATATATATCCAGGTTGAATGAAAGTGAAATTTACCTGAGCTACAGCATTACAAAATTCTAGGGAGTTCAGAAACATGGCCATTTCAGGAATATTATGAACATCTTCATCTGTAATTTGACACCAGTCTTCTGATGGTATAATTATTTTACGAGGCAAATCGGAATATAAGCCACTTAGCCCTGTGGCCAGCACCTGTAATAATATCATAATATATTCATGAAAAATTACAGATTATTCATAAACTTAAAATAAAACAGCTCTTACTAATACACTGAAAATTGTTTTTTTTAACTTAGTTATTGACTACTTAAAGATGGATTTGAATTTCAACCTGTGAAATTATTACATAACCCAAGTCTAAACATTATACTAATAAACACAAAGAAAAAGAATACTTGTATAACTTCCTGTATTTGTAAAAAAAAATTTTTATATATAATATTGAAAGTTAAGAATTTTATCTTACTTACAGGACAGAAATCGGAGTTCTCTGCAATGTACTCTCCAATATAAGGATGTTTGGAGGATAACGTCATAATCAGTAAGAGAGCATCTCTAGCCTGTTGGCCAACTTTTCCCTCTCTATGTAGGTATGGGATGAGCAGTGAGAAAATAAGAAACTTTGTCGGGCCATGATCTGCATTCATGTTGAACACACTCTCCAATATAACGGTCTCCTTGGATATGCTCACACACAGCTGGTGTAAAACAAGCACTAAACTAGATTCTATGTTACCAGTACTGTCATCTGAACAGTAGGCCAGAAGGTTTAACAGTGGTCTTATCACAGGTTTATGAATTAAAAGAAGTTGGTGGACTGGCTTATCAAGTGTTCAAACATTCGAAGTTGTTCCTGTACAAGTTTCCGACCATCATCATGGTATCCATGACACCATCCGCAGAACTTTTTCTAATATCTCATGTTCTAACAGGTAATGCAGGATAGCACCTGGCATACCTTGACCATCTTCTCCATCTTCCTGGGCAAGTAAGGTGATCATTTTGCTCAAAGTTATGACTAACTGTATTAATCTCATCATCTGTTGACTTTGTACCTTTCTCTACATCTCTATTTATTATACTGTAAGCCTGCTCCCAGTGATTTTGGAACACCTCCAGGCAAGTGGCTGGATCCGTGTCACGTCGGCTACGACGTTCCATCGGACTTTCACTGTTTATACTGCTAGCATCCGATGAGTTCTTAGACTCAGACCTCTTTTTAAACCAGCTCATTCTGAATGTTTTACTGACATGACAATACTCACAAACATATTGTCATGTTTTATCAGCCAGTCACTGAAATAAATAGGAGCAATGTAAGTTGTTTACACTAACTGGCAAATCATGACTTGTTTACTAGCTGTTAAAAACTCTTTACAAATTTATTGATAACAGACTGCATTGATAATTTACTCACAATTACATGTTTAACATTTTATGTTGCAACAGTTAAAGTCATGTTCTATTGCATTTTTTTTTCACCCAATTGGAACGGGTCCTGTACCTACCAAATTGGGAATTTTTGAGTTGTTAAAAGGGCCAAATTGGGAATTTTCAAAGCGTGAAATGAGGCAAATTGGGAATTTTATGTCAGGTCTTTAATAACAGCAAGAAATGTGAATTATCCTGCTTTCTTAAAAAACATCCAAGTTAAGAAATTAAATACTAAAAAGGTTTGTCATAAATTGATCAATAAATCATAAAACAATAAAGAAGGAAAGTATTTAATCTTTCTGTGGAGTGTAAGCCCAGAATACGGAAGGGTGCATTTAGCCTATTCGTTGTTTGATTAATATGATAATTCTTTAATTGGGAATCCTTTTCTTTTATTAAATAATATGACAAGTTTTACCTTAGTTCATTAAAATAAATACATCTTTGGTAGAGTTATGTACACAGGTAAAATTGCCTTTGAACATATCAATACAATAGATACCATGAATTAATTATTTATTCATTATAAATATACTTTTTCATATTTATATAAATCTATTAATAATAATTTTTCATGTATTTTTTTAATGTTTATAACATATAACATTATTTCATTGCAAAACCGATGACATGTTTCAAGATAAAGACACTAGCTAGAAATGATGCAAAAACTAGAAATGTGTCCCGGATGCCCCCAACACGCCACTGTTTCTGTCAATCTTATGACTCTAGGTCAAATATTTTTTGGACTACATGTGCCACAAGTTGAAAATAAAAATCAACAAAGGGCCATAATTCTGTTAAATTTGGTCGCAGCAAAAATTCCTTCCTTTACTACCATCTACACATTAAGGTTGTTCATCCCTGGAAGTTTAAGCAAAATCTACCATCCGGTTTAAGAGGAGTTGCGTTCACAAGATTTTGGGACGTACGGATGGACACTCGGACGGACAAGTGCAACGCTTAATGCTCCCACTCTGTGGGGGCATAAAAATAACTAGAATGTCAAATTTCCCCGTGACAATTGTAACTGCCTGATAGTGAAATGCTGGAGACTTTCGCACTTCAACAATTGTCATAATAATCATCTGATCATGGTTCACTTAATAACAACTTAATCTATTCAACCGACTTAATTTTAATAGCAGAACCTTTATTGGGATGAGAATATGTTTGAAATTTGGGATTAAACAAACAAAAAAATGATAAAAAGGCGTTTTTATGATCTGGTGAGATAATGTGTGGCAGATATTTTCATTATTTTCACAGCGTTGCATCTTATGAAAAAAGTTTGATCTCAAAAAACTGTGTTCCTTGTAAACTTACAATTAGCAAATCAGGGTCATATGAGTTCGAATGTTTGATTCATCACGAATATTTACAAATACAGGTAAAATTAAAATCTTGACAACTTGCTAAGTTCAAGGTCGAAAAGTCTGCGTCGGATAGATGCTTGAAAAATTCTTTTTACCGAAAGGACATTTGAAAGACGAACAATTTTTTCTCGTTCTTTTCTCTTTTTGTTTTCATTCAATTCCATACCCATATTCTATTCTTTTATATTTAACTATTCTTTTTAATTCTCTATTTTACTATTCTTTTCTCTCTTCTCTTCTATTTTCATCAATTATATTTTCTCTATTCTATTCTTTATTCCATTCTATTCTATACAGTCTAATAGTATTTTCAGTGGAGCAGATTTTTAAGACATAATTACTATACAAGTCTTAAGGCATGATTTACATAGCTATTGAAGAGGTATATTACCTTGGAGATGCTTCATGCAATATAACTATGCTCCAGACTTACAGTTTCTGAGAGAAGATTTTAAAGATTTCATTACAAGATAATGCATAAAGTTAGTATTTATGTTATATTTGTCAATAAATTCATTTAAACTATAAAAGTGTACCTCTGGTTTCAAAAATACACCTTTTAAAAAACATACAATTGGATCACCCCTGGTAGCTGGCATCGGGACAAAATAAAACACTTGTCAGGGACAAAACTTCAATGTGCATTGAGAGATTTTATTATAACTTGGTACAAATTTTCACCAGTATAAAATTCAGGTCCCTTTGACCAAGGTAAAGGTCACACTGAAAAGTCATGGTCTTGTGACCTACTTACCTACTTGTGTATTCGACTGGAACCAAATATCATCTTGGTCCTGTGTTTTGTAAAGGAGTGAGACATTGTGGTGGTTTTATAGCAGTTTATTGTTCACACTGGAGACTAAATTGATGGACTTCAGAAAACATTGCCAGGTTTAAGGCATTGAAAGCAAAACTAATGTACACATAATATAATTTTAAGGACATTGAATGATTTGGACCCTTGATAATAATTGATATATGGTTTTATAGCAAAGGTATAAATATATAGTGATGTAAACATTGCAGCTGATGATAAAGAAACAGAACAAATCATTATAGATTTCAATGTTTACTGCAATATTTCTATAAGCTAAGTTATTAACAAATATTAATAAATTAACATCTATATTAAACATTTGAGATAAAATCATACATAAATAATTTAAAAGAGTAATATCCATAACATTTTTATAGCACTGAATGAGAGCTGGTAAACTTGACCCCTTACTCCATCCATAAGTTTGAGTATACCACTAATCTCTTTCACTGTGTGAAAATAAAGCATTCAATACTTTCCAAATAACTCTCTGGGATAAGCATTATTAAGTATTATAAAGTGAGAGGCTGAAAAACTAAATAATATAGAATTCTGATTCTTTAACACTGCACTTCCTCAACTGTGTGAAGTTTCAATGAAATAGAGTCAAACTCTGGACAAGCATTATTCATAATTTTTATCCGCATTTATCCTAATGAAGAAATTATCAAGCATTTTTAGGTAGCATTATGGTTCTTTAACTTTCTTTGCTTCTAGGAGCACAAAAACCTATTTTAAGCTAAGTGACTTTTACCCCCAATGAGCTCAAAAAAAAACTTCTTAAAGGGCAGAGATATGTGCAACTCAACAACCAAAATATGTCAATAAACAAATGCTCTATGATGGTAAATACTAACATCTGTTTTCAGTCTCGTTGACCTTGACCCCTAATTGACCTCACACCTCAACCAAGGTCACATGTAGTATTCAGTGCATGTTTAAGATGTTGGTCAATAAGTGCTATAGGTGTTATATGAATAGTACATCATTGTCACATGTACAACTGATGTAAGGGTAGGCAAATCAACAACTATATCACCCCAAAATTATAATGCGGAGCATAAAATGGAAATAATAAAATATAAGTTCTCCATCCTATTTTAACATTCACTATAGAAACAATTCATTTCCATCATTAAAATTGTACTTTTTGAAACAAATATCATGTGTTATGTATAGAGTTCTGACAAACCTTTATCATATTTATATCTATACAAATTGTAACATATGAAATGAAGAAAAAACAATTACAAAATACCTTTAAATCTTTGCCCTTACACTTTTTTCTGTTTAAAGGATTTTCATTATATATTTTCTTATTCAAAATAAAACCATTTTACAACAAACATCTTAAAGCACAAAGTTTCATACACAAATAATGTAGCAACATTTAACTGTTTTGCTTAACAATTTTACAACTTATAGAATCTTCACATTAACTGTGTTTCATAAGCTATTAAAAGCTACAAGAAAATAATCTGATACATTTGCTAGCATAAGTCAATTGTAACCATGGCACTGCACTCATTCCCTGAGGAACTGCAGGAACATTTAGATTTTCAAACCAGTCAGGTAATAAAACCCATTCCTAAAGCCACAGCACTGCAATTCGGACATTATCCCAGTTATTTTGATGCCAAATTAAATCTGTGGCATTGACTTAGCAATGTGGTGATAGATGAAAGGAATAACTCTGCTCAGTCCTTCACTGGAATGCAAGACTGTGGTTACAATTTACAGGGGGTGAATGTTGTTTATTCTTACCAAAAGTGACATTATGCTCACTTTTTCACTGTTGAGTTCAGCTGAATTGGCTTTTGGCTATTAAATATAATGTTTACTGACAAATAATTTATGATGAAAAATGTTTAGGATAAAATATAACAAATGCCTACAGCATAAAAGCCTTCCCTACTCTTTTTATCAATTTAAAAGTAACAATACACTCTGAAGGCTATTTATAGAATTTTCTATGAGTCATGTAATTTATTGATAATACACGTGAACTAGTCTATAAAATTGAAAACAATAATGGCTAAATCTTTAAGTTATTTCGACTTTGACCTGTCCATCACCATTTACACATGGACAGGCATAATATCACTTTAAATTCATAGTTGTCAAACAATAGATTACAAATTTCAACCCTGTTTTATTCAAACACGTTCAATTGACAAATTCAAACAATCATCAACTTTAAATCTTTTTCCCCATTGTCTTTTAGCTGAACCACAAGATTTTTATTTTATTTCCTGTCTTCTGATTTTTCTCAGCATGAGTTATTTCTCTTTATCACAATTATCTTGGCACAAGGTTTGTTTTCTAGCACTCAATATGTGTCAATACATCTACGTAAGTTTAAGTCTTCGTATTGGTTTTGCGTAGATTGGTTCCATTAAATGTAAAAGTAGGAAGATAACCATTCCAATCACCAGGAATAAAGAACATCCAGCAATCAACACCGATCGAAAGATGATTGAGTAATCATATTTCTGAAAATAAAAATCATAAGAATTTATTTAATATACAAAATAACTTTTATAAATCACCTTAAAACATCAGATACAGCAATCACATAAGGTCACTTTAAGACCTGATTAATTAAAGCCAGCATTAGAACTAGATGTATGTAAAACAAAGAACATCATTGAATGGTAATTATATAATGGCCAATCTGTAAGTCATAATGATGGTACATTTTGAGGTTATATCTTAAATAAGCACACTTTCTCAATTGGAAAAACTGAAAACCAATAAGGCACTTAAAATTCATAGCTGCAAGAAAACACATTTGTAATATGTTATCATTTCTTGCTCTGGAGTCCCTTAATTAGGCTAATTAGTAAACTAGCACACAAATTTATAAAATAAATTTTAAGTGATCAATATTTTTATAGATCATGCCATTTGTGAAATTCTGATGCTTGCTGATAGACATATTAGTTATAGTAAAAACTAAAGTATATAATGATTCTGAAACTTTAATTCTCAGTTTGGCTAAAAGATATTTGATTATTTAGGACTGATTAGACAGGCATTAAGGTGGCTGTAACAGATCAAAGGATACATTTTTCAAACACTGCGATATAATACATAAAGATTAGTAAAGACATACAAAATGTATTCAATTTCTTCAAATGATGAAAACTCATTTTATGTGATTTTATGATTTCAAGGTGTTGATTCATTATTTTGTGCAACGTTAATTGATTTGAGTCAATCTGAAAGATCTGGAACAGTGATCATTTAACACGTCATAGTGAGAGCATTATTTAGGTTACCTTTGATGGTTTATTCTGAAATGTTTACACAAGTCATAAACACTACTTACAAATACACAATTGCACTGATTAATATGAGCCGCGTCATGACAAAACCAACATAATGGGTTTGCGACCAGCATGAATCCAGATCAGCCTGCGCATCCGCACAGTCTGATCAGGATCCATGCTGTTTGCTGTCAGTTTCTCTACTTGTTATAGGGTTTGTAAGCAAACAGCATGGATCCTGATCAGACTGCGCGGATGTGCAGGCTGGTCTGGATCTATGCTGGTCGCAAACCCATTATGTTGGTTTTGTTGTGACGCGGCTCATATTTCTTCAAGTTTAGACACCAAGTATCAGAATGGATTATAATAAAAAGATAAATCAAATGTTAAATGAGTGTTTACTCAACTACATTTAAAAACAAAGTAAAACAGTACTTAATTTACATTTACATAAAAACAACTATTTAGTCAGCAAATAACTGACTGCCATGTAAATTAATGCACCTTTTTGCAATTAAAAGCATACCCTATGAAATAGACAATACGCTTAAAATACCTTTGTTGTTGGGGCTTCAAAATCTTCTCTTGGTAGAACCAATAATATCACAGAAAACAGAATAGCAAATAGAATCATCACAATACCAACATTCCTGAAATGTAAAAAACAAAACAACTCATTACAACAAAGAACATCAGGTGTTTAGCTCCCAAACTGTTCAAGCTGGGTTTTTCATTGCCAATTGTATCAAGGTTTCATATCAAAATATTTGATTTTTCTGAGGTGTTAAATAGAAAATTTTACAAATTTCCTTTCATTTCATAATGACATTGGCTTATTGTTTTAGAAATGAATTTATATTTTGACAGTCTTTTAAGCAATAGAGTTATTAGAATCAATGATTTTGATGAAACCACTGGTCTTGATAAAACCACTGAACAAATTTGCCTTATTATACATTTGAAATCAATAAAAATCTATGTAATTTTCATTTGCAAAAGTCTTTCTAGTGTTGACAGGGTCCTCATTTCTCAAATTTTGGGGCCAAATTCCCTTCCGCATTTATTATACATTTTAAACATAATCCCCTTATCTATTTTTTTTTAATTCTTACTGCCTAAAACTTAAGACCCTTTACAATATCATACTGAAATTTGCTTTTTGTAAAATAGAATACATAAAACAGTTTAAAACTCAACATTATGAGTATTTTAGTTGACAGACAAAATTCCCCTTAAAACAACTAGATTCTTCTACCCAATGGGCCCCTGCCTGCCCCCAGAAATTTAAGAAAACAAGCAAATTTGTTGCATTTATATCCCCACGGAGTTGGCCCCAGGAACAAATTTGAGTGTTTCAATAAGCTTCGAGCTTCCAACACAAAGTAAAAATAATAAGTATAAACTACATAAAAACAATGTTACATTGATAACTAGAACTCTGCGAGTCGGATGTGTCGCCTTGTGAACAATATAGTTTAGGAGAAATGGCCAGGACAAAAGGGCAATAACTCAAAAAATTAGAACTGCAGAGCAGCAGTTTCTGTGCACTGTACTTCTTATCAATAAGATCTATCATCCTGTGAAGTTTCAAGTCTATAGCTTTTATAATTTAGGAAAATTTGGCCTGGACAAAAAGGCGACAACGACGCCGACAACGCCGACAAAAGTAACCCCTATATGTCGCCTTTTCAAGGCGACACAAAAACTGCTTTCACACTGCTTTATATTATTACTTAAAGTTTGCCCAATCACTTTAATTTAGCCTGGTGGTGGTGTTGGTATTTTTCACTCCAGATCACGGCAGTAATTAAGCCACATTAAATTCACCAGAGCATAGTTCAACCACCTGGGCAGGCTGTCAAGCAGTTTATCAGTCAGTGTCTTTTCTAGGAGGGGGATGGGGGTGAATTCACTCATATTCTTTAAAAATTCCTCCCCATTTTTAGAGAGGCAGGGGTAAAATTCTACATAGAGAAAGAAGGAAAAAGATCAACAAATGTAATAAATTCTCACTTTTCGGTAAAAATACTTCCTGTTTTTTTCAAATCCTAGAATAGACACTGACTGGTAAACTGCTTGACAGCAGTACCAGCTGACATTACTTTCCACAAGGAACTGAAACTTCTGTACATACAAGAGCAGATCGAGGTACAGTGCAAATGACCGTAGAAAGGATTTCATGATGAATCACAATTATGAAAGTGACCTGCGCGGTAAGGGAATCGAACCGGGTTGCCCAATTCACAGTCCAATGCTCAAAATGTGGATGGCTCTTTAATTTTGCCTGGGACAAGAAGCAGCCTTAAAGCCAAGTACATTCACTTGTCCAGAGAACAAAGTCAAGGTTTTCTTCACAATTAGAGGAAAGGGCAATGCCGTTTAATTTGAGAAAAAAGTTAATTGTTCCTGCAAAAGGGGAAGAAGAAAAATCTTGATGTGAATTCAATTCTGTGGAAAAATTCATGATTCTCAAGAATTTTCCTGAGTGATGCACTTACGATATTGCCCCTGTCGATCTGGAAAATACTAAACATAGAAATAAGCTTAATGCCCAAACAAGTATTATGAGGAAAAGGCCAATGCCAACCCCTAAAACAGTGTTATGGTCCGTCATTTTTTAAAGTTATCTCTCGTGTAAGACAAGTCACAACATCTATCACGAATGTCAACAAATGTGTCAGGAAGAGATTTGTAACATAAGAAATAATTGGACGCTTCAAAAATCTAAACCAATGAAATCTTAGCACACATTTCTGCAACATCTCAGTCAGTGAAGAGATCTGTTAAAAGCGTCCAATGATTAAGATGTTATTGAATTTTTATAAAATCACTTTTGGGGAGGTTTCAATGCAAAGACTCGTTAAATGAGTGATTTAAAACATGTAGGTAGTTTCGTTTATAATAATATTTGCAAAAAAATCCCCAAAAAACAACAATTAACCATGCTATCTCCGGGGAAATCCTTCAGTCTAAAATTTAATGATTCGTCCCACGGACGATTCGTCTATGACGATTTTCAAAAAACAAAGGGTGCCAATATAAAGTGTAAATGAGTAAAATTCAATGTTGTTTATATCAATCCAGGACTTGTCTTGTTTATATAAACGGAACCAAGATTGTTTGTTTTTTTAAAAAACAAATCAACTCATTTTCAGGTGTATTTTGGGGTTTGATATATCCTGTTTTCTCATACTCTCGGGGGGGGGGGGGTTAAGGACTAAACTTGGTTGCATAATATTTATAAAACATTCTGTTACAGTATTTTTTGCCTGGTACACAGAGAAATACCTTATTAACAAAATATATAGAAAGAAAGATCGTAACTGTAAGCAAAACAAAAGATATTTCTGCTTGTATAGGAGAGATTTACCGCAAACAGGACGTTTCGGCCCCAAACCAAATCGGCCCCAGTCAAAAAATCGGCCCCTGGACGTTTCGGCCCTTTTCCGCGAGACGTTTCGGCCCCACTATAGTGTATTGCTTGATTTATCAACAACAATAAATTGAATTACAATTAAACAATTATGAAACTTTAATTCTTTGAATAATTATTTATTATCTTTTGATCTCTTGAACGATTTAGATATACGTTAATGTTTTTAAAGGTGTAACAAACAATAAAGGCCGGTTACTTACTTATAAAACAAACCACTAAAACTTCTGGATTAAGAAAGTTACTTACAATTTTTCCTTAGAAAACATTCTCTTTTGATCTTAATTAAACTATACGTAAGTGTAACTAATTAACTGTTTATACTTTATGCTAATTGGCGGTATTGTTTTGTGTCTTGCTTCTTAATCATTCAAATAAAATATTATCTATATATGGTTAATAATTGTTTGTTTGTGTAATTATATTTTTTCAAATAAAGTTTATGTTCTGTTCTGTTTGTATTGATTACTTTCCCCCTACTACTATAATAATCTAGTTTTTATACAAAATGATTAAATATATATATAAATTTTTTTTTTTATTGAAATGCTATTAATATATAGGTTTAAAATACAGTACTTATTCTGGGGCCGATTTGGTAGTTTGGGGCCGATACGTCTTGGGGCCGAAACGTCTCGAAATCGATTTACCAGTGGCCAATATTCTAAAAATAGAATTGCTGATAAGCACTGACCATAGCAACCGTTGTTGGTCGTACATCCTCTTTGTACTACTTAGTCATTTTACATAAGAAAACTATGGTGTTTATGTCTATTAAGAAATAAATATGAGCTCTGTTTCAATAAAGTAGAGGTTTTGATGCTAAAGCATCATTAGTCCCCAAATAGAAAAATGATTGCATTATCATAAATTTAAGAAAATATCAGTTAAATGGTTCATGAATAAAGAAAAGATTAACAATATGTTGAGTAACTATTTATTTACAATAAAGACATTATATGTGAAACAAACTTGCTTAGAAATATTGTCAAGAAACTGTTATCATTTTTTAAATCAGCAAAAAAATAACGTACACTTAATTCATCATAAACTTAATTCATCGCGAATAAAACAAGTGATTGAAAATAATTAAAGTAAAGCATTAACATTAAGCTTGCAAAGTGACTGGGAAAATATGTTTAATTATTGTAAGAAACGATGCAATTCTATTGTACTTTTAAAGGTACTGACTACAAAATTATATAAACAAAACAATATTTCTTATCTCATATTTCCTATTTATTTATTTTTTATTGAAAATAAATAAAACTGTAGGGAAAAGAAATCTTCAAACAATTATAAAAACTGTAGGCAAAAGAAATATTCGAACAGTTATAAAGACATTGTTTAGATATTTGTTATGATATGTGGCCTTAAAAAAAGTTATAATTAGTTAACTACATCAAATATATAATGCCTAGCTTATAAGTATGATATAGTTTTAGAGGTGTACTTGTATTCTGAAATAAATTCACTGAGGTCATTATCATATCTACCTGATCCCACCACAGATGTGACACATGACTATTTTGAGTAATTATGTTGCCTTTTCTTTTTTTTATTGGCTGCTGTAAACATGTTTAACTTGGGATTTTGTCAACTTTTTAAATAAATTAAATTTATCCCAAACATTTTCAAATATCACCAGTTGGTCAAACACCATTTTAACAGTCAATCTTTATAAATATAAGGTCAATTCAGCTCAAATTGACTATGAAAATATGAGCATAATGTCACTTTAATTAACTTGCTTAATACTTAAAACTGAACATGAACTAAGCATAAAGTTTTAAATTATATTTATGTTAACAACACTCAGTTTTGGGTCTTAAGCATACATTTAACAATGGCTGAAATATAATACCCTTGAATCATAAAACATATTTACATTGACAGGGTGAAAAAAGGGAAAATTAAAATGAAACAAAACTGAGCAATTAGCAGGCATATTTCACATAAAAATGATAATTCATAGAACATATGTAGCGAGTTGTTTCAAGATTGATATAGACAAAAGAAATTAAAGTACATGTAGATGTTTAGCAAAAATTTAACCCTTTATAACATCACACTTATCTTATATATAAAATATATCAATACTATTTAGAAAATAGTTTTGTATCTTTTTTCTTCATTTTGAATATTACAAAAAATTAAGTTCAGATAATTCTGATTTTTAAAACTTTGCCCCAGGAACATCATCTTATGTTAACTTTACAGAAAATACTACCATTGTTTACATGTGAATGTACGACCTTCTAAGATTGTGTGTATACGTAGTCCACACAGCAGCTATCAGTGACGTGGTGGTAAATCCTTCCTATATACTGACCTTCACCCTTTATGTGAAGCAGGTTCTTTCTCGTATTCTCGTGGAATCTGATTGGTTGTTAAGGCTGGTAGCTATGTGATGATTTTATTCTACATACCAGTTCAAATCATTAGTGCCACTCCTAATTAAGTGTTAAATGGCTTAAATCTGTAATTTTATTGTGTTTTGATAACAGCTTGGCAGGCCATATCAAACTTTTAGGATCATATTGACGCCTCTTTGGTACCACATGATTTTGATTGTTCCAGAAATAGTTTGAGCTCAATTTAGTGTTGTTGTGTCGCCTCTACGGAGTAGTGGCGACATATAGGGATCACTTCTCCGTCGTCTGTCTGTCCGTCTGTCTGTCCGTCCGTCTGTCACAAAACTTGTCTGGACTACTCCTCATAAACTACTAGTGCAATTTCATCCAAACTTTACTGGAATGATCAGTACCAATTCTAGTTGTGCACATTGTCAGGATTTTCCGGTTCAATGATTTTTTTGTCAGAGTTATGGCCCTTTAATAATTTTTAATTTTAAAGTTTGTCCGGACTACTTCTCTTATACCACTAATGCAATTTCAATGAAACTTTACAGGATTGATCTGTAGCTCAAGTCCTTGCGCATATTGCACTGGTTTTCCGGTTGAATGATTTTTGGCCGAGTTATGGCCCTTTGATAAAAAGGTTTCTTTTTCTGTGTGTTGCCAGATACACAAAAGCTTGTCCGGACTACTCCTCATAAACTACTGGTGAAATTTCATCCAAACTTTACAGGAATGATCAGTACCAAGTCTACTTGTGCATATTGTCAGCATTTTCCGGTTTAATGATTTTTGTTTGAGTTATGGCCCTTTAATAATTTTTATTTTTAAAGTTTGTCCAGACTACTTCTCTTATACCACTTATGCAATTTCAATGAAACTTTACAGGATTGATCTGTAGCTCAAGTCCTTGCGCATATTGCACGGGTTTTCCGGTTGAATGATTTTTGGCCGAGTTATGGCCCTTTGATAAAAAGGTGTTTTTTTCTGTGTGTTGCCAGATACGCAAAAGCTTGTCCGGACTACTCCTCATAAACTACTGGTGCAATTTTATCCAAACTTTACAGGAATGATCAGTACAAAGTGGTTAGTCTAGTTGTGCACTGTCCGTCTGTCTGTCCGTCTGTCACAAAATTTGTCCCAACATGAAATTGGCCATCATGAGGCGACACATGTGATTACTGATCGCTCTTGTTATTTACATAATCTCTCTAAAATATATTAAGTTTACGTTTATTTATTAGTTACTTATTAGTTATTTGAGCATTAAACAATGAATACTACTGTTTTCCATTGCAGTTGTCAAAAATGAAATGTGTTTAGGATAAATAATGTTTCATTATTGGTTTTTAATTGGAGTTCATATCTTTTTTAAAATATCTATTCATGGAACAAATATTTTGAGCTGTATTGTATAAATAGTAGTGTGAGACCGTCATATAAGCGTCTTGCGTCAGGGACCCGCTAGAGGTTTCTGTAACATGGAAAAAACTAGAAAATTCGTGATTTTGGGGGGAAAATTGATAAATTTAATGTTTATTCACTGGATTTTACGATTATTTTCACAGTTATTTTGTTTTTTTATTTGCTTTTGTCGCATTTCTTTTATTTTTTTAATGGGGATGAAAATGCTCTGCTAAATAGACATGTTTTCGGATATCGGCGGAAGTCGCGAGCGTCGCTTCCATCCGTTTTAAATATTCCACAAGAATACGAGAAACCCCGAGAATACGAGAAACAGGGATAATAATGTTATCATACTGGTATAGGCTAACTTTTTGCGTAACTTGAATGTCATTCAAAAGAATACTTAAAACATAATGTCATTATTTATTTATTTATTTAATTATGATGTTTAATAGTTAAGATAAGTCTAGGTAGCAAAACTGTGTCATTTATTTTGTTTGTTTGCTTTGTCTTTTCTTTAAGTTCATTGTTATACAAATAACAAGTTTTTTTTTAATACAAATCAAATTTTAGTTTCTTTAATGTCTTTATTTGATCTTTGATCTCATTATTATTATTGTGATTTACATGTCATTTAACATGACTGGAAATAAAAGTTATTCTATTCTATTCTATTCATACTGTGCATCTCCGCCCTGCGAGAATGATTTTTGATCTATGCCAGGTTGACAAAGAAATATATTAATACTTTTATGAAATGATTTGTGTGCACTCTGTAATCAACTTTATACATGAACACATTCAACTGATTATATTTTTTGGACAAAAATGTTTATTAACTGCAACAAGGGTTGTCCCTCTCAACTTTTTTAACAAAAATATTGATTTTATTTAGCTCACAATTACTTCCCCTTGGTTGCCGGTATTCATGTAAACAAATAGCCGACTAGACATTTTACATTTTTGAATTTGGCCATAAAAATAATTTCATGTTTTATATGATATCTTGATTTGAATCCACTCATCAGAGAAACTAAATTCATTTAAAATCAAATTTCGGGATTAATAATTTCATTTCAGGAAAAGAGTATCTTGAAACTTGGCATTTATTTCTTTTTATTCTATATTTTATGAATGAGTTGAGTATAAATAAATAATAACTGAAATTTATCAAAAACTTGCAGCATATTTGAATCAGTCAAAAATTTTACTATGTGAATAATTTGGAATGCTGGAAAAATTAAAAATTAAATATTGTGTTGCAAATTGACAGAGAGGTGACATAATAAACCCACCCCTTGTTAGCCTAAGTTATTCTTGCATGTTTAACAAGTGTTGTCTGAGATTTTTTTTTACACTCTATGATTCAGTCTTTATTTGGCAGTAGGTAGACTAGTACACGCTACATCACAACAACCATGTAAATTTAAATGTATGAACAGGCCTCGACACTAACATTTTTAGCAGGTGGTACGCCGGACCACTAGATTTGAAAGTTAGGTGGTCCTTCCAGAAGATAGGTGGTCAATTATCATTATTATATCATTTTACTGGAAATGTAAAATAAAAATGTTTAACCTTGATGACAAAGATGTATTATTAACCTTTAAAGAAAACAGATATTTTTAGATATGTATTTTTCATCTAATTAGAAAAGGGAGAGCAAGTCACTAGGTACTCTATCGTAGATTTATTTGTTTGTTTGTTTTTATCTCATTCAAAAATACACAACAGAGCTCTTATTTATGTTAACTTTCATATTGAAGTGATTTCTCCCTCAAATCAAGTTAGGGAATAGTGAAACCATTTGTGTCTGTAATTTTCTTACTGTTATTGAAATATTCATTGCTGATACGTGGTACGTCTTATAATCATGACAGTAACATAGTATCTTTAATAGATTAACATTTTTAATAAAACTAATAAATTATCTTATTCTTGTCTTTGAAACCAATGAAATATCTAAATTATTAAAATAATTACAACGTAATGTTATGTTTAACTGTAGTTTAAATAGCTTATTTTTCTCACAGATTTATAATACAGAAGTTTAACCTCCCTGTTGCTTGTTGGTTGATATTCATTTTTTAAATTGAGTATTTTTAACCTTTTAAATTAATTTTAACTCTAGGAGAAATACATCTCTTATCGTTATACAGTTAAAATAAAGATAAATAGCAAAGAATTACTAGATGTATTTCTACCAGATCATTTCGTTTGCTGCCGTTATTCAAGTATCTGAAATTTAAGTTTATCCGATATCATATAATTACCATCATCGGATACTCACGGTTGATTAACATGTAACATAACATAAATGTTAATGGTTCCGCTGCCGGTATCCAACGATGCATAATTACTAGCACCATTTGAATGAATTTTGTACCTAAATTAATATCACAAATTCTAAACTCTTTTAACTTGCAAAACAAAATGTTAGCGACTTCAAATGAAAGTTATCGATGACTTAAGAACTTCTTTAACTAATCAGAGATTAATGAACCATATACATGTACATCGGACACAAGATTTTTAACAAAATCATATAAACTGTTTTTGACCAAATCGCCATTCTTCCAAATGAGCTTTGCATCAACCAGAAAATTCAAGTGGTCCAACAGACCAGTGGGTTTTTAAATTAGGTGGTCCTTGCCAAAATCAAGTGGTCTCGGACCAACGGACCACCGCTAATGTCGAGGCCTGATGAATTGGCGCATACTAATACTTATATTATAATATAGAGGCTTCACTCATCAGCCTAGATGTTTGGTATGAAACATTGTCTGGTGGACCTCTGGCTTTTGCTTGTATATTAAATACATAAAAAATCTCCTTGAAAACTGCAAAGCTATGTCTTACCATATTTTACATGAAACATAGTAACAAAAATTATTCAAATTATAGCCCTGGAGTCAATATTGGCCCCCACCCTGGGAGAACATAGGTTTGCCTTATATGTGACTTCGCATAGGGACCATTGACTTTCCATAGCAACTAGTGACTTATATAGGAACCATTGATTTTCCATGGCAACCACAGACCTCTTTAGCAACCAGAGACTTTTCCAAAGCAACTAGTGCATTTCCATGTCAACCATTGACTTTCCATAGCAACCAGTGACTTCCTTAGAAACCAGTGACTTCCCACAGCAACCATTGATTTCCATAGCAACTAGGGCCTTTCTTTAGCAACCACAAACTTCCATAGCAACCTGTGATTTCCTATAGCAACCAGTGACTCACATAGTAACAATTGACTGTCCATAGCAACCATAGACTTCTTTAACACTAAATGACTTGCCATAGCAACCTGTGACTTTCCAAAGCAACCATTGACATCCATAGCAACCCCTAACTTTCCATAGCAACCATGACTTTCCTTTGCAACCATTGACTTCCATAGCAACCAGTGACTTTCCATAGTAACCAAAGACTTCCATGGTAACCAGTAACTTCCTATAGCAACCAGTGACTCACATCTATATCAATCATTGACTTTCGGTTGCAACTTTAGACTTCTTAAGTACCCAGTGACTTTTCATAACATCCGTTAACTTGCCATAGCAACCATTGACTTTCCATAGCTACCAATGATTTCTATTCCAACCATTGACTTTCCAAAGCAACCACTGACTTCCATAGCACCCAAGGATTTCCATAGCAACTGTAGAATTCCATAGCAACTAGTGACTTTCTACAGCAACCATTGACTTCCATGCAAACAGTGACTTTAAATAGCTATTAGTGACTCACATAGCAACCATTGACTTTCCATATGAACCATTTACTGTCCGTAAGACCATAACAACCATTGACTTCTATAGCAAACAGTGACTTCATAGCAGCCATTGACTTTTCATAGCAAACTGTATTTTTCCATAACAACCAATTGTTATTGATCTGCTTTGTCACATTTTAAAGATAAACCAGGATTTATTCTATCACTTTTAAGCATGCTTCTATAATACATGTACAAGAAACCTTGATAATATGAGAAACTTGGATATACATGTAGGCAGGCACTCTGAATACTAATTGTATTCCTTGTTTTAGTATTAATTTGGCATGTGTGTTGGCATTGGTGCAGGGGGACGGGGAGGGGGAGAGAGAAAATATGACTTACTCTTAGTTTAACTTAAAATAATTTTCAGTGAACATTATGTGATCAAAAGTTATATTTATCTCTTTTTAACTTTTTCAGAAATACAGAACAAGAAAAAGGTTATGATCACAGTCATATAGAACTATTTTGTGAGAGATGAAATTTTACATGCATTCAGAAGAACCAGAACTAACAGTAGTTATAGTATGGGAAAAAAACAGGTCAGGCACTTTGCAAGAAGCAGTAAACATATTTACGGAATCTTTGAAAAACAAATTCCCTGAATTTAAAACTTTTAGATTAATTTGTACTGTTAAGAATGGCAGAGGAAAAATTATTGAGGAAAGTACTTCAGTGGACAAAGCTGTAAAGCATATGGATGATTTATATGTAAATGTTGAATTTAAAGAAGATGGAATCAATAAAGTATCTGAGAGAGTAGAAGAATTAGGTATTGAAAAGAATGAAAAGAAAGCAGAAAGTGAAGATTCGAAGAAAGATGTTCTAATAAGTAAAAATAATGCAGCAATTATTCATGTTGGTAACTGTAGATATAGAAAGGCTATTGCTGTATATAAAGAGATCCTAGATGAAGATTCACGAAATAAAGCTGCCTACAAAGGTATAATAACATGCTACAAAAAGGCAGGTAGGTTCAAGAAGGCATTAGCACAGGCAAAGAAGGCATTAAAACTGTTTGAGAATGATGTGGATTTAAATATGTTAGCAGGAGAAGTGCATGTTGACTGTGGTAATGGAGATGAGGCAATTGAGTATCTCATGAAGTGCTCCAAGTTAGCTAGGAGTTCTAATGGTCTTGACACAGAGACTAAACATGAACTTCATGTGCTCCTTGCCAAAGCTTACCTTATCAAAGAACAGAAAGATATGGCTATAGCAGTTCTTCAAGGGGTTTTAAGAGAAGATGTGGAACATAAAGATGCTCTTGTACTATATGCAGGGCTTTTATTTCCACTTGGACCATCACAGAAAGAGGAGGCAATGTCAGTTTTAATATCAACTCTGGCAAGAGCTAAAAATGATAAAAAAGCTATGCAAACATTTGCAGAAGTATGTCAACAGCCTGATGGAATGGAAGTATTAAAGGAAGTGATTAAACCAGTGATGAAAGATTCTGCTGCACTTGTGTTCCTTGGGAACTGTTTAAGAGACTTTAGTGCCATTAAAGAATGTCTCGAGTTGTTTAGTTTGGCTTTAGAAGCAGATCCAAGTAATCCTAGCATTGCACTTATTTATGTTCATACTTTAGAGATAGTAGATAGGCATAAGGATATTATAAAGTACTACAAAGAATACTGTAGTAAATATTTAGAAAAGTCTGTAAATAATCTTACATGTGAAAATGTTAAAGATGTTATTGATAGCATACCTGAACAGCTAGATGACTCACTAGTATCAGACGAGGTTGTTGTAGCAACTGTGAAACAAGGTTCTAACTCAGAAATTACTTCATGTTCTAAACAATACACTGATGAAGAGAAATATCTGCTTGCATTCTGGTTTACTCTTGTCAAAGTGTTGTTTATCAAAGGACAGTTGCATTATATTCCACCTTTATTGGAGATGATTCATCCTTTATGTGAAGGGCATGACCTTCACAATAGCAACATTAGAAATGAAGCTGCATATTTCAGCTGCATCAGAGATTTGTTCAAAACATACGATAGGGATATTCCTGCTACGAAGCTCTCACTTGGAGAAAATTACATATATTTTATTGGTGACAGTCACTGTATACCACCAGCTTGGCAGAAAATTACTGTAAAGGTTTGTATACTATTGCATTTTTTGATAATATTCTTTTCCAAAGTTACCCATGCAGACAAAATAATTTTGAAAAGAAATAAAGATAGGTGAATAAGACTAAGAATAGCAAGAGTACTGTATTTATAATATTGAAAATCATCTTACAGTATTATTATTGGAAACACAAATGTACATTAGTTTAAGGAATAACATTCTTGTAATGATGTTTTCATTTTATTTAGCTTTTCCCGACCGAGCCTACCACAGCCAGGTTGCAAGGATGTATTTGGTGTCTTCTGTCCTGACATTTATTCTTTTGTCCATCTCTTTGTCTTTCCTGTGTCTGTCCATCACTCATTGATGGGAACATAAAACTAAAACTACTTCAGTTACAAACTCAAAACTTCATATATGGTTACATCTCATTGAGAGAAAAAATCCAGTGCTGAAGAATCTCTTTTACAAAATTTTGGTTATTGCCATTTTAATTTTTCGTAATTTTTGTCGTGGACATAACTAAAAAATGTTGGATATATCCATCAGTGATAGATCTCATAAGATCACAAGAATAAGTGCAGTGCTTAAGAATAGTGATGGTTAAAAGCCCTAACTCTTTGGTGTAATTTTGGAGTTATTGCCCTTTGTTATGTCTATTACATGCACTAAACTTTTGCCCAGGGCCTAACTCATAAGTATTGGTGATATCAACATGAAACTTCAATGATTGTTAAATCTCATTTAAAGGAAAAATACATGTACTAGTATCATGTCCAAAAACCAAAATTTTCTTGGTATAATTTGGAGTGATTGTCTTCCTATTGCTTATTTCAGTTATCCCCATTTTTTCATCAAGAACCATATTTATTACTATTATCAATGTTAACACATTTAAGGATCTTTTTAGATTGTGCTTTTAGATAGTGATTCTAAGAAAATTTGATGTAAAATCTTTTATAAATTGATACATGTATATCTCTCGATCAGCATTACCAAATTATAATAATGGAGAATTAAAATTTGAATTTATGATGTTTATTCCGGTTCTATTCCTGGATTCAATGAATTTAATAATTTGAGCATAAACAATCTTTCACTACTCTTGAATCCTAAGATTGTATTTCTTATACAAACATACTTTAAATGAATGACCAAATGGCATGGCGTAATTTCAAAGTGATATTGAAATGCCGTAATGTCTCATGTCTTAAAAGAATGTCCTTTTGATTAACACTGCTCAGTTTTGTGGGTTTTTGACATAATAATGCCCTGAGAAACATAATTAATCAGGTTCTTTGTATCATACTGTGGGGGATATCTATAGTTGTTATCCAGAACTAAGCAAATGTGTGTTTTTCCAAGCTTATCCCTTGGTTAAATCAAACTTTCCTGTTATAGCTTCATGGTGCATTACTGTTCACAATAGATAAGTAAATCCATTGTGCTTATGACCAAAGCTGTAAATGAAAGTGTTTGTCCTGGATTAGCTCGGAAAATCTAAAATATTCTTTAATAATTCACGAGTACATGTCTATTCAATAAAATGCTTACTATTTTTGTATTACAGGGCTCAACATTCATTGTGCACCCAATCCTTTCAACTGGTACAAAAATCTGGCATCTAAGACACGAAAGCAAGTTTTATCCAAAGGTGAACTTCCACTCAGCTATTAAAAACATACCAGACAATGCCACTGTAATTGTTTGTCTTGGTGAGATTGACTGTAGAGAAGCCTTACTAAGCTGTTGGGAAAAGGCCAGGTAAACTGTTGATATTAGTTTTTGCAGAGTTACGGTTTCTTAAAGACCATAACTTATAGATTATTACAAGCATTTGTTTCTGCCTCAGCTCACCTATACTTGAAGTGCTTAAAAGCAACCTGTTACAAATAAAAAAGAAAGTCTGCCATATTTTTCTATATTTGTTTGATAGTCCAACATTTACAAGTGTTTCATTCTTACATGCCAGGATATGTTTCCTTTGATTAATACTGTAAACAAGATCTTTTGCTGTTGTTTTTTTTCTGTGTATTTTTAAATGATTGAAGGATGGTTTTACTTTTTGTCCCTGGTTGTCTGTCCATTAATTTGTTAGCAATTTTGGATTGGCCTGCTTTATATCTTTATCTCTAAGAATTTTTATGATTTTTATGGTTAACTGTTTATCAGCTTGAGACTTGCACTTTATGTACAGTAAATAATTCATCAAGCAGGAAAACAAATGTTGTACATTTTTCAGGTATGACACAATAGAGGATGGCATGGAAGCTGTGATTGACATCTACCTTAAAGAAATGAACAATCTGCAGAGAAAACACCAATGGAAACTCTTCATTCATCCTGTGTTGCCAGTCTTAGATGTTACCCGTCCAATAGTATCACAGTTTAATAGAATCTTGGCAACAATGCTGTTGAGAGAGCCAGCAATCCATTGGTTGAACTTTGTTAAAGACCTAACTAATGGTCCAGATGAAGGAGAGATGCTGAAAGAAGAATTCATATTTGATGGAACACATGTTCATCCTAGATATACATCTTTGCTGGCAGATTCTTTGTCAGATTTTCCAGAGATATTTAACTGAACTAAAACATTTGAGTTACTTGTTTGCAAGTTGTTTGCAATAGAATTTTTATACAATTTGCATGTTTCCATTATCTTTCAATAATATGGTTTAATGGTGTGAATTTTTAGCTGTAGCTCACCTGAGCACAAAGTGCTTAGAGGTGAGCTTTTGTGATGTCAGTGTGTCTGCTGTCTGTCCTCCATTGTTGTCCACAATTTCTATGAACAACTTCTTCTTCAGCACTTGATGGATTTTGACCAATATCTACAGGAATGATCCGTTGATGGTCCTCTGCAAACCTTTTATAAATGGTTCCTGTCTGATGCATAAGTAGGAAACAGGAGCAAAAAATAGACTTAAGTCACTTAACAAATGAATGTCTAGAGCTTAGATATTTAACTTGTAGAATCACCTTGCGGTCCTCTTAAAACTTGAATATAGAAATCATGCCCCTGTCTTTAAAACTTTCTTCTCTGAAATTTCATGTACAATGCCCAAAGATTAGATATTTTGGCATGTTCTTCTACAATAGTTATATAATAAAATCATGTCTCTGGTGACAAAACTGATTCCATCCTGGGGATAACTTAGTTTATACAAAATTGTATAGGAAAATACATTTATATTTAGTCTTATTTTATGAAACTACAATGCCAAAAGCTTAGATATTTGACATGTAACATTGACTAGTGGACCTCTTCAAAAATCATAGTTGTGCCTCTAAGGTAATAATTGCAGTACCCAGGGGGCCACTTAGTTAACATAGACTTGTATAGTAAAAAAGTCTCACAAATCTGTTTCTCTGAATGTACAATACCCAAAGCTTAAATTGTAGTTATTCTGCATGTAGCATCACCTTGTGGTCCTCAACAAAAGTGACATAAATCATGCCTCTTTAGTTGTAATTTGTTTGTACATTTTGGTCACTTAGTTTATATAGACTTATGCATTGTAAAACACAATTCAGTCTTGTGTGAGGCCAAGGGCTCAGATATTTGTCATAAAGCATTTTGTAGCAGACAGCTACAAATGTTTTAAAAATTATGCAGCTTGGGTAAAAAATGACAAACCCAATGTGACCTCATTACTGACTTTAACATTGAAAAATAAAAAGTGTGACCTTTCCTAGCGATGTATATCAGGTTAGCAATTCAAGACCCTCCTATTTATCTGATATTACAATTATGCAAAGTTGGCACCTTCAAATGAGCCACTTATTTCAAGAAAATCAAACTTGGGGAAAAAATACAAAGACTGTAAAAAAACGAAAAAGATTCATTTAATAATGGGTTAATGACTGATTTTGCAGTATACACTGTATGTCACCAAATTTCTACTGCCTTACTAACGCATTAAGTAAGTGTTGTTTGAAATGTGTAAATTATTTTCTTTGTTCATTTCACAAAGTTTTACTTTTAAATGCTTTCAAAAAAAAAATTATAAAAAAGGACGAATCTGGAGGTAACTGTTGTGATATTTGAAAGCTACTAAAGTCTTCAAAAATTAAATGAAAGATGATCAAGTAACAATTACTTTTTTTAACCGTGCATGCTTGTTAAATTACACTTTCATTCTATGTCAAGGACATATGACAACTTGCCAGATTTACTGATGTCTACCAAACATTATTAATACGGTCATTATATTTGATAGACTCAGATACAAATGCATACATAGGTAGAGCCACTGACCTTCCATAAGCTAGCTGGGTAATTTTGTGACGTGATAATTAAGAAGTCGGTCATCTCAAAGCGCAGAGAAGTGATGCCTTTATAACCACTGTATGTATCCAGATCACCAGGGCTCGATGATAATAGTAACTTGAAATTTCTGAAACAAACATTTTTCCTCAAACATTTTAACAAGATCTGACAATATAGAACATTAAATGTGTAATGCTCCCCACACAACCTCGATCTTGCATCAATCAAAGGCCTGTCTGTTTCCGCTGGCTACTTTTCTCTCGGCCATAACATTTTTTTTATATTCTACCACTTACTAATTGTTGCTATTAGACATTTATCAGAGGAAAATTTTGATTTTACACTAGTCTATTTTTAGAGATATTTAAATATTTAATACTGAACATTGTGCTACGTATTGATGTTTTGAAGAAGAAAAAACAATTACGTTTTTATCTTCTTATTGCATGCATATTATTGAATCCGATTCACATTATAAGTTTTGGATTCTATAATTATGTTTGATGCTAGAATTTAATAAAAACATACTCAAAAACATTATCTTATCAGTTTTTTTAATTTGAAGTGTTTTACGGTAAAATGAGGGTATTCGATCCGTTAACCTGCCAGTCTGTCCACAGTATTTGTCCATTTAATTATTAATGCTATTGTATAATCAGCTAAATTGTTGTGTAAAATCAATTGACATTAACGAACGAAAACCCTGGACATATACAGAGTAGAATCAAAGCACAGAAGGCGCTGAATTTGTTTGGGTCTCAGAATGTCAGAAAGGTGAAGGCTGTGAGATTATAAACCAATTTGTTTTTGTAAAGTGTCACCAATGCTTTCCAGCGTTTTAATTGTAGTAAATTGGCTATAAGACTAATTTAAACACTGATATTCAATCCAATGTTTATTTGACTTAAATAATTTGAAAAAAAATGCCTTAACTTTGACCATTCGGGAATTATTTTGCTTGAAAATTAATGCGCCTGTCATTTGACCATCTTTACGCAGTGTTCTCCCCTGAATTTTCGGCGTTAGTTTACATATAAAGGGAAGTAACCGCTTCAAAAAAGCGGACTACTTTCGGCACTTGCAATTAACAGCATTAGAGTCTGAAATTTCGCTACCATTATTTGTTTGGTTTGACGACCCAAACAAATAAAAACAAATATACTGGACGCTTGCAACATAAAGACGATTGTTTTATTTATATTTTTTCAGTGAAAAGGCAGTTTAAATACTAAATCATTTTATTTCAAATCAAACATATTCTACAGTCCCATCAGAAATATATTCGATATCAAGCAACCTTGTTTCATTTCTGGTAAGTTATTTAAGGTAAATGTGCGTACGTAGAAAGCAAGTATTTAAAAATGGCAATGATGTATTGAAATCGATCATTTATACTTATCAATAAAAAAGAGCATATACGAGAATTCTTAAGCAACTTTTGATGTCGTAAGGGATTTGCAACAGCATAATCATTATTAAACTGAACATAAAATCGGCAAACTTGTGCATATATATTCATGACAGTCTAATGGTCTACTGTATACCAATCAAGTTAAAAATCTTCCATATATGATCTTTTTTAATGATGCTAACAAAAACTATGTTCATTCAAACCCCATTTTGCTAAAATAATTTATAAGATAGCAGGTGGATTTACTTTTGATAATAGAATTTAGATCAAACATTAGAAGGTATTATAAAGACAACATTAAGGCTGAGTCAGATTTGATTAACTGACAGGGGTAAGGAGTTCCAGAGTCTTATATTCTAGATAGATATAATTAAAGAAGGTTTCTGGTGGGGATAAGGCGGCTATTGTTCACTGCAATTGCTTGGTTTCTGCTTTAGTAGCAAAAAAAAAAACATTGCGGGAGTTTTGCATCCTACATTGTTGTTTTAACGATTTCTTTTCCGAGATAATGAGTATTTTCGTGAACTTTGTCTATCATTGTAGTAGCCTGACATGACACAACAGACTGCTGACCTACTGATATTATCTGAGATGTTCTGTTTTCCAGAGATACCATTAGATATTAGAACATTTTCTAATTTTGGGCGGACGTATATATATATACCGGTATATAAATTGTTATGTTGCACCCTGCAATTTTGATCTGATTATTAACAGTTTTGACATTTCTTTGAATGAAAGGGATATTGCCTTTGAGTATGTACTTTTGTTTTTAGACCAATTTAAGTAAGAAGAGGGTAACGCGTATAATATTTTGATGCTGTATATATCGGGTTTCAATTCAGTATTGCGAGGCCTACATGTATTATAAGCGGCATTTCCTAGTGATTCCTATAAAAAAAGCATTTACATGTACATGTATCTGAATTGATACTTTCCCATTGAGATCTTCATGTAGAGTTATACTATCTTTTACCAGGTTCAATGACCCTGCCTAAATTGCGAACCTTACTTGAATGCTATCAAACAAGGGACTGGACGTGAGGTGGTTGCACACACGTAGTTCCCTACACGTGGGGTACGTGGAGTTCAGAATGCGTTAAAATCCAATAAATTGTAAATTTGTCAATTCCAGCACATATACTTGTCATATGTATCAAAAATCTTAATATCAGCTGTTTTGGAAAAAAAACATATTTCAACGTTTAAGCGCATTTTGGTTCATTCTTTGTGGTTTCTTAAATCCTAAGTTTTTATACTTTTCGCATAAAAATGTACTTTTCGTTTATTAAGATACACCCATTCAATTCGGCATTTTCCGTACATTCTCGGAAACAAAATGGAGTCTGACAGGTTGGCCGATGAAAAAATAAAAAGGAAATTTTAAATACTCCGATAATAAAGGGAAAAGGCCAAATTTAAGTAAGTTATACCGATGCAACAGATCGTAAACAATTACTTCAATCTTTAAACATGTTCGATTTTTGCATAGCATGGAGAAATTTGCAAAGAAAATTCGTCTCTTTGTCAGTGGCAGTGGAGATTATTTTTCAGGAGAATTTTCAATCTTGGTTCATTGTGTGCCATCACGATTTTTATTTAAGTTAATGTTAAGTTTAAGTCATTAAGACATATAAATTGTTTAACTTTAGATAAATAAATCCTCGAATATACATGAGCAACAGTATAAAATACTTGCCTAAATTATAATCAATTTATTTTAATGTTTAGGAAGTAGCTAAATTATTTGTCCTGATGTTTGTTGCAACATATTGTTATTAACTTTAGTATATAACAATAACAGCGGCACATACAGCATAGCTTAGAAATTGAAAAATGTTAGTATTTGGATGGTAAAGTAAAGATAATCTGATAATGTTTGTTTTTTTATAAATGCCTGTTAGAAAAACTAAAACTTTTTAATATGAAAGTAGATGAAGCCTGTGAACAGGGTAGTCAGATTTAAGAAATTGTTCCTTTTTTTGTTTTAAAGGTGTCATTTGAAAAGTTGTGATTGTTCTGATGTTGAATTGTTCAATTGTCATTGAATTACCTTACAATTGGTGGCGCCCAAATACTTGACATAGAAATGGCACTGAAAATTTCACTGATAGACCTGTACAGGCAAACTAGTCAAATCGGCCCCAAGTCAGATCGGCCCCAAGTTAGATCGGCCCCTAAATTAGTCAATTCGGCCTCAAAATTAGTCAAATCGGCCACACACCAATTTTAAAAAGTCAAATCGGCCCCAAAACTAGTCAAATCGGCCCCAAAACTAGTCAAATCTGCCCCAAAACTAGTCAAATCGGCCCTAAAGTTATTTTTATGAAAAAATCCTATTTTGGTTAAAATAATGTTATTCGCCAAAAATTACAAGGTTATTAACTGAGAATTGTACTATAACATAAATGTACCAATTAAAAATAATTCATTACGAAATTGAGACAGTTTTGATGCTAGTGATAATTGTTATTAATGTAATTATGCAGGTTTGCTTTTTGTTGATTGATTTCTACATTTAATTACAATTAAATATCTGAACATATAAAGGTCGGTCTACGTTTTGAAGATAAATAATTATGTGAAAAACAAACATTTATCACGTGTCTTTAATCAATTCAGTCATTGTCACAAATAATCATGCATTGAATTCGACTTTTTTAGCAAACAATTTTGCGTGAAGTGAATTTAATCAGTTATGTATAAAAAGGTTGATTTTTTTAGCAACAGTCAAAAATGTATTTTACTAATTTTCTAAATGCATTTTTGTGTCGCCTCTACGGAGTAGTGGCGACATATAGGGATCACTTCTCCGTCGTCTGTCTGTCCGTCTGTCTGTCTGTCCGTGCGTCCGTCACAAAACTTGTCCGGACTACTCCTCATAAACTACTGGTGCAATTTCATCCAAACTTTACAGGAATGATCAGTACCAAGTCTAGTTGTGCATATTGTCAGCATTTTCCGGTTCAATGATTTTTGTTAGAGTTATGGCCCTTTAATAATTTTTAATTTTAAAGTTTGTCCGGACTACTTCTCTTATACCACTAATGCAATTTCAATGAAACTTTACAGGATTGATCTGTAGCTCAAGTCCTTGCGCATATTGCACGGGTTTTCCGGTTGAATGATTTTTGGCCGAGTTATGGCCCTTTGATAAAAAGGTTTCTTTTTCTGTGTGTTGCCAGATACACAAAAGCTTGTCCGGACTACTCCTCATAAACTACAGGTGCAATTTCATCCAAACTTTACAGGAATGATCAGTACCAAGTCTAGTTGTGCATATTGTCAGCATTTTCCGGTTCAATGATTTTTGTTTGAGTTATGGCCCTTTAATAATTTTTATTTTTAAAGTTTGTCCGGACTACTTCTCTTATACCACTAATGCAATTTCAATGAAACTTTACAGGATTGATCTGTAGCTCAAGTCCTTGCGCATATTGCACGGGTTTTCCGGTTGAATGATTTTTGGCTGAGTTATGGCCCTTTGATAAAAAGGTGTTTTTTTTCTGTGTGTTGCCAGATACGCAAAAGCTTGTCCGGACTACTCCTCATAAACTACTGGTGCAATTTTATCCAAACTTTGAAGGAATGATCAGTACCAAGTCTAGTTGTGCACTGTCTGTCTGTCTGTCCGTCTGTCACAAAATTTGTCCCAACATAAAATTGGCCATCATGAGGCGACACATGTGATTACTGATCGCTCTTGTTAATAGAGTAATTTTCAATTTAAATTATAGTTTATTGATTATAATAAATAGACATGCAATGCTACTGGAAACGAATGATTGATGCAATTAACGATAATTAAGTGTGAACAACGTGCTACCTGATTAAACGTGACGGTACAAATTATGTGATGTTCAAACTTAATTTGATTTGTCGCACATGAGTGGATATAGGAACACGCAGACAATATAGATATCATATATGAATGTATAATTTGATATTTAATTGAAGACCATCATATATAAACGTAAATTCTCAAACTGTCCCTTTAAAAAAAAATCGGTATATAATTATGTGAATATATATAACTGCTTGAATTTATTATATCATGATTTCTTGGTGCATGCATTATAATAAATAATCTGGATATATTATATATTTTATCAATCTAAATTTAATTTCTTTAAATTAAAAAACTATAAAAGAACATAAAAGAAATTATATCACCAACAACTTAAGACGTCCGCGTTTTAGACTGTGCGTCTTTAAAGCTAAAGTAATCACATTTAATTAAAATTTTTGAGTAATTCTACTTACCTAGATTCCATCTCTGTGTATAAAATCATAATTAACAAAATTGAAAAAAGTCTTAGTATAATTATAAAAAAACATATATATTAAACTCTGTTGGTAAAAATGATTTCAAATGCATATAATCAATTAGATTGATTATTATATGTTTTGTTCTTGTTTTCTATATATATGTAATCCATTGTTTGTCATTTGGTATTCCCATCCACACAATTGTTTTTTAACAACATTTAAAAAATAAGAAAATGAATAATGAATTTAGAAAATAAAAAAAAATGGGGCCGATCTGACTTGAGGCCGATTTGACTATTTTGTGGCCGATCTGACTTGGGGCCGATCTGACTTGGGGCCGATTTGACTGTAATTCTTCAATTCCCTGTACAGTATAGAAATCTACTTTGTATAAAATTGGACATTTTTTATTGTTTTTTCATTTGATTTCCTTTTTAGCTCGACTATACGAAGTATATGGAGAGCTGTCCTACTCGCCCCGGCGTCGGCGTCCGCGTCCAGATTTTAGATTAAAGTTTTGGTGCAGTAAAATATTTTTCACTATAACTTTGTCATTTCTTAAGGTATCAACTTCAAACTTCAAATATATGTTCCTTATCATCAACCACATCATATGTGACAAGGTTCATAACTCTAGCACCAATATTTTCAGATTTATCTCCCCTTGAACTTAGAATTTTCCTTAAAAAATACTATTTTTTACTGTTACTTCCCTATTTCTTAAGGGATCAACCTCATACTTCAAATATATGTACCTTATCATCATCCCCATCTTATGTGACAAGGTTCATAACTCTAGCACCAATAGTTTCAGATTTATCTCCCCTTGAACTTAGAATTTTCCTCAAAAAGTACTATTTCTTACTCTTTCTTCTTTATTTCTTAAGGGATCAACCTCATACTTCAAATGTATTTACATTATCATCATCCCCATCTTATGTTACAAGGTTCATAACTCTAGCACCAATATTTTCAGATTTATCTCCCTTTGAACTTAGAATTTTCCATAAATTTTTTTTTTTTTTTCTGTTATTTATTTATTTCTAAAGGGATCAACTTCATACTTCAAATATGTTTACGTTATCATCATCCACATCTTATGTGACAAGGTTCATAACTCTAGCACCAATATTGCAAGAATTATCTCCCCATAAACTTAGATTTTTTTACTAGAAAAATGTTATTTCTTATTATAACTTTTTTATTTTTAAAGGTATCTACCTCAAATTTCAAATACTTATTCCTTATCAACAATTACATTTTATGTGACATTGTTCATAACTCTTGATGCAATATTTACAGATTTATATCTCTTTGAACTTAGGATTTTCTTTAAGAAATATAATAACTTCTTTTCCTTTTTAAGGTATCTACTTCAAACTTCAAATATATATTTCTTATCATTACACAAATGTTGTGTGACAAGGTCCATAACTCTAGCATGACTATTTCTAGAATTATGCCCCTTGATCTTGGAATTTATGTTAACAAATATTATTTTTTTACTATAACTTAATACATAATTATACATAATTGATTTTTCTTTCATAGTTTTGTCCTCCTTACTGCGTCCAGTATTTCATTAGTCAAGCTTCGCTGTCTCCTGTGACAGCTCTTGTTATTACACACATGCAGTCTAAAGCTAGGCTTGCCAAGGAATCCGGGTCAGCTCGGCCCTTAAACATACTCGGCCCCCGAGTCAGCTCTGCCCTATTCCAACTCGGCACGGGTCAACTCGACCCACTTTTAAAAATGGGTAAAGGACATCAAAGGACTCCTATTGTCAGGGGCTATTATTATCAATCAATGTGTATGTTAAAGATACCGATTAATTAGGTGATAATTATGATTGACTCATTCATTCAAATTTGATTAGTGACCACCTGCAATTAATTAGAAGCTTATGCTATTAAGTAAACACATTTTTGTTTCATATTTTTTTGAAAATTATTTTACAAACAAAATGCATCTAAGGAAACACATTTTTATCTATATATTCACAGGCACAAGTATCGGACCTGGGAAGAAAAAATATGAAGTTATTTTATCAATCTGTTCATATTTTTTCTTCCTAGGTTCGATAATCGTGCCTGTGTCTATATTAATTTTATCGAATTTGCAATACAAATAAATAACTTTTTTTTCTAAATATACTTTATTTCAGCAGAGGTACAATGTATAAATATATAATAATAATAAGATATTTCTTATTATTCATTTACCTTAACAACATGCAAAGCAAAGTAAATACGTTAAAGGGCTTAGGCCTATATATTTTTGTAAAGTGGGCCGATTTGACCTGTGCCGAGTTGACCCGTGCCGAGTTGGTATAGGGCCGAGTTGACTCTTTTCCCTTGCCAAGCCTGGACCAGACTTTCCCATGTAAAATACTGGAAGAAATAGTAAAAATAGAATAAAGACATAATGTTAAAACAAGTTAATTAAGTGATGCATATACCATTTAAGTACAATAATCAGATAATTAAGTGAACGAAAATAAAAAGAATATTCTACCATATTTTAGTTACCATCTTTGCTCTAAGGTGCATTGGCTTAAAAGACTCAGTCCAAACTTATGTTTTCTAACAAGGGCGTTTTTTACATACACCCTCTTTTACGTCATATTTTTGCAGACTGACCTCATCCTGGCATTGATTTTGCTGTGAATAATCAGCTGAAAATTCATCATTTTTTCTGAAATGTTCTTAATTTGAAAAAAAAAAATTATAGAAGCTAATTTCTGTTGCTTTTTTTTTTTTTAATTTTTGTAAAGTAAAGTTTGTCTTAACTTGAAGTTTTTAGTAAAAGAGTGCATAAGCTGTAATGGCCATTTAACAGACATTGAATAAAGGACTGCTGCGAGATAATGTTAACTTATGCCCTATTATACGGTATCTTGGTGGCTGTAATAATTTTTGTTGAATTTTTTTAAATTGTTGTCATTAGCCATTATCCATACAGAGCATTGTAAAAGTCAAACTCTGTTATGATACCAGATTCATGAAAAATGGCCAGGATCTGTTAGTAACAGATAGGGTTCAGTTGATAGCTCAGTATACTTTTTAAAGGTTAGACTTTCGAACAGATTATATCTTAAGATTTTAGTACATTGTACAATTAGAAAATTTAACTAATTGAGATGATGTATTAGCTTCTTTTCAAGCCTCCAAAGACTATAAGATATGATTCTGTTGGTCAAATGAAGAGTAAGACACGCTAAACAGTAAAAATTAATTCTATTCATTTCTTGTATCAAGTGAACAAGTTAAAAATGCTCAAAAGGATATTGATGATTTATTAACAGTCAAACCAACTGAGTTTTGGAAACAAATTGGGAAGATTGGTATTGGTAATGAGAGAATGAAAAATATTCCATTTGAAACAGTTTTGCCAGATGGTTCAATTAGTACCAAACCTACGGTTGTGCTCGAAAAATGGGCATCTGACTTCTCTGACCTTCTGAACACAAAGGGTGATGGCAGTTGTTCTCAGTATGTGGGTGGGGCCTGTGATAATGAAGTCGGTGACTTTACACATTTTAACCCAAATTCAGAAATATCTGTTGAAGAGACATACAGGGCCCTTATTAATGCAAAGTCTGGTAAAGCCCCTGGTCATGATGATATACCGGTTGAATTGCTGAAAAATGATCCGGCTTTATATACTCTCACGGCTTTATTCAACCAATGTCTAAATACTAACATGGTACCATCGGCCTGGTCTAAGGGTATCATTACTCCAGTACCAAAGTCATCGACTTCAGACCCAAGGGACCCACTTTCATACAGGGGCATTACTCTTGCACCATCAATGTATAAGGTATATTGCAGTATTTTAAATGAAAGAATTTCTAAATTCTGTGAGAGTGAAAATATTATACATGATGAGCAAAATGGTTTTGTTAAAGATAGAAGTACTATTGATCAAGTCTACACCCTTACAAGTATTGTTGAAACAAGAAAATTGAAAAAACAAAGTACTTTTACAGCCTTTATTGATTTCAAAAAGGCATATGATACTGTACCTAGGGCTAAATTATGGACAAAACTACAACAGTCAGGTCTGTGTGGAAAAATTCTCAAATCTGTTATTTCATTGTATAAAGATGTTCAATGCTGTATAAGGTTAAATGGTTTTGATTCACAGTGGTTTGAAGTAAATTGTGGTTTGAAACAAGGCTGCCCGCTGTCACCTATACTTTTTAACCTATACATCAATGACTTAGTTACTGCTATAAAAGAAGCAAATATTGGAATTAAAGTAAATGACGAGCTGTTAAGTATTTTATTATTCGCAGACGATATTGTTATCTTAGCGGAAACAGCTGCAGATTTACAAAAGCTGCTTGATATCTTAAATATTTGGTGTAATAATAATAGTATGGTTGTTAATTGTAACAAATCTAATATTGTTCATTTTCGACCACATAGTTGTATTCAGACAAGCTCTGTTTTTAAAATTGGACCGTCACACCTACAGATTACTCATAGTTATAGATATCTTGGTGTTGTATTAAATGAATTCTTAGATTTTACAGAAATTGCCAAAAATGTAGCCATGTCCGCTGGTAGAGCACTTGGTTTAGTAATCTCGAAATGTAAAAGTTTTGGTGGTTTTTACTTTTCAACATTCACAAAGCTCTATGACTCCATGGTTCTACCTGTAATAAATTATGCAGCTCCAATATGGGGTGATAAATCCTACTCATGTATAAATGCTGTCCAAAATAGAGCCATGAGGTATTTTTTGGGAGTTGGAAAATACACACCAAATGCTGCTGTATTGGGAGATATGGGTTGGAAACCAATATTTGTAAAACAGTGGGGTGCTGTTACAAGGCAGTATTGTAGATTTTTAAAGATGCATGGCTCTAGATTAAATAAAAAAGTTTTTGAATGGGTTAAATTGTCATCTAATATAAGATGTAAAACCGGAATATTTCGTATAATGGAAATGTACTGAAACATTGGAATGTTTAATATAGATAATTTACAGAGATGTACTAAAACTGTTGTAGACACTTTAGAAAATAAGCTGTTACAGATTGAAATTGAGAAATTGAAGCAAACTGTAAACAGAGTTGATTCAGTAAGAGGTAATGGTTGTAATAAGTTGAGATCTTACAGACTTATAAAGTCTCATTTTGTAACTGAACACTATGTTAAAGAACCACTTCCTTTTCATTTTCGAAGTGCTATGGCAAAATTTAGATGCGGTGTGGCACCGATTAGATTAGAAACTGGGCGGTATGAAAATCTTAATGTACATGACAGAACTTGTTTCAATTGTTTAAACTGTATTGAAGATGAAGAACATGTTTTACTGAAATGTCCATTGTACACCTCCATAAGAGAGGAACTATACACACAGAGTAGAAGAGTTTTTAATGGGTTTGATAATTTATCTGATAAGGAGAAATTTTGTATATTATTCACTGATGTAAACATAGTTAAATATACAGCCAAAGCCTGTTTTAACATTTTAAAGGAAAGAAAAATTTTACTGTACTGTAAATAATATAAATGTCTTTTTAATAGTACAGTGTTTATTTTAACATTTGAATTGTATTATTAGTAGTTGTGGGTATTTAAGATAGAGTGTTGTGGATCTTACAGATTGAATTTATTTTATTATTATACATTTTAGTATTTTAATTCTCTTAAATTTCATTAGAATTGTTATACATCAGACTAGTGAATTGTTTTATATATAGACTTTTAGACACATTAGTAGGAATATGAAAACTTAAAATGATAGATCCACAACATTCCCAATTCATTCATTATAAGTATGTATAGTATATAATCATATAAGTATGTAAATATGATCCTTTATTATATTTACCTATAGATGTAAGCTTTGCTTACACGTCTCTTATAATTCTATACTGAATGGCATATGTACTTTTACCAGTTTTAGTCTTTTTTATTGTGATATATATAATGTACATGTGATGAGACGTAAATAAAATATTTGAATTGAATTGAATCAATTTCAAGATTACCAATGTCCCATTGGCACCAGGATTTTAATCAAAAGTTTTTATTTGTATAACAATTAACATTGTGAAGAGTCAGTTATTCTTATAAACAGTCAAAGTTATGTTGCCAATTACTTGCTAATCTGTCTACGTAATTTTGCCTGGATGTTTATTTACCAATTGTCACCTTTGAAACCACAATAAAAGAGTCTTAGACATGTATAAGCAATTAACACAGCAGGGTCCCATTTCTCTCAACTTATTATTATTACACTTTATTTCCCATTTTCATAGATTTTAACATAATAGAAAAAACATATATATATATATAAATGTACAATCACAATCATTACAAGTTATACAATAATTCAACATATAGCAAATATAGGTCATGGTGTAAACTTAGGTTAAGCACATAAATTTATATGCATCATGATATAATTTATACATATTTACATTTGTAACAAAAGATGCTGTGATATATATATATATTTATATATATAATTTATTGTCTAGAATTCCATTTAAGTAAACATACCAAATTTGATATTTAATATTGTAAGGGAATAAAGATGAAGTGAGCCACTGATTTGTAGAAAGATAATTGCAGGAATTTTAAAGAAAAAATATTAAAACCCAATGACTAAAACTTCTTTGAATTAAAATCTTTTGATTATAAGTCATTTGCCTGGAAAACTAGAAAAAGTTTAAAAGTGGTCGTGGCACATGCTTTGAAGGGTTTTCCTTCTTGATTTTGGGTGAAAGACGAAGGCTTATTAGTGGACAGTGCTGGATAACATTGAAAATAATGTGTTAAGACAGTAATATATATTATCTAAAACAACTTATTTAATTTAATAATCAGTACAGTTATCTTTGGGAACAACTGTCAAGGGCACTTCATTAGTTGTTGGATATGAATCAGCCTCAATGTTTTATTACAAATTAATATGCATTTATATGCAAGAATTGTGAAATACTGTATCTTAATTGTAATTGTTGTTTGACTAGATATTATATTGATATGTTGGGATATAATTATCATTTCAGTGTAAACATGCTGACTGTACAGCAGGATGGCCAATAATCGACTGGATATTAATGCCGCTACTGTAGATGATTTTGAACAACTGATTGGTATAGGCAGAAATAAAGCAGAGGCTATTGTAAAGCATAGAAAAGTGAGTTTCTTACAAGGTCTTTGGTTTTTTCAACTATTCAATGAATAGGTACAGCTATTGCACTTACCCTGATGTTGGTGTCGGCATCACACTTTGGTTAAATTTTTTGCATGTAAGTTGGTACATAATGTATCTATAAAACTACTGAAAGGAATTGGCTTATACTTCACACACTTACTTGAGAGCACAATAAGAGGTCACTGTCCAAGGCCCATAACTAACTTGTCTTTCTGTAGAAAATTCTACATTATGCCGACTTGTTTTACTATCAAGCACTGCCATTAGTAGAGCATGCTATTGTACCAACAGTTCTTGTTTTGTACAGTGTTGTTAATCTTTTATATTTATCTTTGCATGAAATTGTCTCAAATAAAACTCTGAATTATTGAATAATATTTAAATTTTAAACTAAAATTTTAATACTAATGTTATGTACAGGTAAGCTACAAGTTGTTAGATGGATCACTAAGTACAGTATTCGAAAATTAATTCTTTTACTTTGTCAATGTTTCTGATTCTAATTGGTCTAATAATAGATTTGAATAAATGTCCAGGTATTCTACTTTGATTTAAATGATTGACAGTTAGATCATCAAAGTGTCTTGATATAGGTACATGTACACCTTACATTGTACACATCTATTTTAAAAGTTTTATTGACTCAGACAGTGGCATTAATTGACTCCAAACTTAGTTGCAGCTTTCACAGTTTCACATCATGTGTTAATAGAAAGAGAAGACACATAATGCCGGTTACGTACATAAAAAATTATCACTATATCCGGATACAAACTATTGTATACTAATATTGTATATTGTATTGACATACATGTTAATATGTTAGTCACATGTACATGGCATGTTGTGAAAATTATTTAGAACAATTTTACTCTCTTTATAAATGACAAAATCTTATAGGATTTCTGAACCCATACACTTTCTTTTTCATCAACAAATGACAGAAACCTGTTTCAGTGAACCAAATTGTTTTCTTCAGATAAACTTTTCTTTTATATTTGCATGGTATAATATTATTTCAAAACTATGTTAAATGAAGATAAAATTAGGTAACCCTATTCTTAAATTGATGAAAACATATTTGTTATTGTCGTCAGTATTTTTCAAACAAGATAGTAAACGACTCTTGTTCTTATATTCTTTTTATTTGACGCATAGGGATCACTATCTACCGTCTGTCTGTCTATATGTCACCAAATTTGTCTGGATTACTCCTCAAGAGCTGCTGGTTTTATTTCATCCAAACTTTACAGGAATGATCAGTATTAAATATATATGTGCATATAGTCAGCATTTTCCAGTCCTAAAATTTTTGTCACAGTTATTGCCCTTTAATTATTAGTGTTTTTTTAAGTTTTGTCCAGATTACTTCACTTATACTACATTAAACAAATGCAATTGGAGTGATCGTTACATGATTGATCGATACCAAACGTTCTTGCACATAATTAATGGGTGTTCCACATGAATGATTTTTGGCAGACTTATGGCCCTTGAATAAAAAAGTGTTTTGAATGTCAATGATTTTTGTGTCTCCTGCTTCTCAGTAGTTTCAACATGCTACATAGAGAATAATAGGTTGGTGCCGTGGATGGAGAAAGTTTATCTGGCGAGGCGGAGGAATTTATTGGGTGAGCCGAAGGCGAACCAAATAAATCCGGAGCAGAGCCAGATAAACTTTCTCCATCCACGGCACCAATCTATTATTCTATTTATCCTGTCACCGTTTTTTTTAAAGAATTTTATTAGGCAAACTACCTTTAATCACACTATCGGAAATGTTTCTATATAAACAAAGAAGGCCCGAAGCGTGCATTATTCTACAACAATGCACTCGCCGTTCTTATTATCTCCCTGTGTATTTTCACATTGAGGGCACCATTTTGTTTGAAAAATGTGATAAATAAAAACAATTTTTTGTTGAATTTTGTTGTGAAAACTATCTAGAATGAAAAAAAATGGTCTAACTAAGAAAATGAATTCGAACACCAATATCTTTTATTCAGTCGTTAACGCTGTACAGACGTTTAAAGTATTGTTTACGTGACGTCACAATGTAGCGCCAAACAGCACGGTGCAAAACAATCAAATCAAGTACGCTATTTTAATGTCGCAAACGAGTTAAGTTTTACATTTATTTCTCTTTTAATAATTTTTATTTCGCTTGAAAAATTATAGAGTGGAATAAAATAAACAAACAAAGTTTTATCAACGTTTCCAAAATTTGTTATTCTACACACAGAAGATTTAACGACAGTTTTTATATTTTTTCTTGAAAAGTAGTCCGGAAAACATGCATACCACGTGATCAAGTGCCGTAGATCAGTAAAAATATACAGCACCTTGTTATCAGGCCGAAATTGATACAAGTGACAGGATAAAAAGTACAGTTACAGCGACATACAGGGAACAAACTGGACAATTATCCCTCAATACAACTGCCTAATTGGCAGCAACACATGTGATCACTGATCCCTGTTGTAATTGTAACCCATGCTATGTAATGACTTTTGAAAATTATCTCACTGTGTGTTGGTACTTACACTGTATTTTGAGACAGAAACACAAACAACCAGTCACATTTGTAAGTCCATTAATTGATACTGGAATAACCAAATCATTGAAAGTTACTCAAGTAGTCGCGGATAGATATGTTTTAAAATACATGTATCTTAAATGGCCTTGGTTTAAGATTTATATTTGCTATATGTATTCCGTCAAATTAACTTGCCTACATCGCCTGTTTGTGTGTTTGGAATTATTTCACATAAGATAATGCAATTTTGATTATCCTAAAGGATTATTTCATTAACCTGCTAAGATTGAAATAAAATGCATAGTTATTTTGTTGTTTTGTAAAATATAATAATTTATAAGTAATAAGTCAGTTAACCTAACAGCACTGAGTTGAACTAACTTTGAATATCTAATTTCAGATGAAGACTGATAATAACTTGTAATTATATAGTTCAAATAGCCTTTGGACAAAAAATTCAATATTTGTTCCCATCCCTAAAAATAATTATTATAAGTAATGTTTTTAAAAAAAAAATGATGGGCATCAGTGATGAAAGGAGATAATAAATAGTTTATAATAGCCATGTTTTTTTCACTCCTTAATTAATATAACAAAATGCGGCTATTTTCAGAGTGTTGGTGGTTTCCAGAGTGTAAGTGATCTTTGTACTGTACCAAGTGTGGGTCGGAGTGTCCTTGACCTTAATAGGCGACAAATTTGCTGTAAGATAACTGGTCGGACTGGCAGGTAAGTTTTACCATTGTAATTGTTGATGTGAAAGAAATGGGGTAATTTTTATTTCATTGCCTAGGAACTTTTTTGATCTCCATGCCAGTTTCAGAATATTTCTAGTATTTACAGCATAAATGATAATTATTACATGTATAATTATGATTTACGTGTAAATTCTATTGAGCATACTATGTCCTTGTAATTAAGTTTCCCAGCATTTAGAAATGGGAGTGACAAATTCTAATTATGTTTTATGAAAAATCATGTGAACATGGCATCATAATCTTATGATAAATCACTTTGGTTTGACACATTTTCTAACTAGAAGTGAAATCATGTTGTAACACAGTTACTGTATTCTAGGAATGAAGTCATAGTTCATTCTTTTGCTAGATATTGTTCACTCATACCTTGTAACTAAGGAAATTCAATTAATTCAATTTAAATTCTAATAATTGGATATACAAGGGAAAAAAAGATTTTTTTTTAAAAATGGTTGCTAATGCTTGTGAAAATTTTAATCATTGGTATAATCTACCATTTATCTTATTTTGCAAATAAATTTGTGTTAATGAAAGAAATTACAAAAAGATTATTCTATGTAAATATTTTACCAAATAAATTTGATGTTTAACCTATGTACCCTTGACAAATATGTAAGTAAGAATACAAATGGATGTAATATATATTATAATTTTAGAATAAGTTTGTATATTACTTACTGTAGGAACAGGATGTGTAAGATTTTTTTAAATATGAAAAATTAATTGTTCTTATGGTAGAAATTTGCTGGGAAATAGTGTTGTGATTTTTGATGTCATTTCTTCTTGAAAACAATCCTTTCTTGTAATATTGATGCGACTTATAAAACTATCATTGATCATAAAATTGTGTACGGTGAACCTTGAAGTTAGATAAATATTGTTAATGCAATGCAGTTGTGTTAAACAGGAGTGTAGAAATTATATAAGGCAGGTAACATTGTAACATTTTATCATTGAGATGACTTATGTTGCCACATTATTAATATTTAATGAAAATCTTAAAGTAAGTCAAAACAATAGGAAAGTTTTTGAATTTATTCACCCTTTTTACCCTTATTTTCCTGGGTTTTTTTAGGGTTAGAAGATTACAGCTTGATTGTTCAGGTAGTTCTACAGAACAAGGTTCGTCAAGGGCAATTCGAGCTGTACTGCGTAATAGAGCTGAACCACGGACACCTAAATCAATATCCCCACAAAAGAAATGTAAATCAGGAATTGGAAATAAAAGGATCTCTGTAGATAAACAAACTGATAGTGAAAATAAAGATACAACAAAGGATAAGTTAAAATCTCCAGCTGTAGTTAGTAATGATGACCAAGCTTCTACTTCTAAAGACTCTGCCTCAAATACTAGTAGTACATTTGGACAAGTTTCCAAGTCATTCCTAACACCAGGGCCGTCAGCTGACAGTATATTACAGGAAAATGAGGACAATGCCGAGGAGGAGGACGACGACAATGAAGATTCAGAAAGTATTCAAGATGAGATAAATGATGCCAGTGATATTGAAGATATTGACCCTGAACTAGACGAAGATGACAGTCATGAAAATATGTCAGATGTTTCCGACACAGTTTATAGCCTGTCAAGTCAAAGGTCGCGGATACCTGTGCCAATATCTGGTTCATTGACATCCCATAATCTTGTAAGTATATAAAATTGATTTAATCAGTAATGTTTTGGCTAACATTCATTATTAATTAATAAAGATAATAGAGAATATTAAGCATAGACTAACTGAGTTATAAAATTGTTGCAGCACAATAGTTATAGTCAATTTTTAGAGGATTAAATCACTGATGTCCATAGACTTAACATAAAGCTTATTATATAGGCTTGGCTTATTGATATTATTTAACCTACAATATAATAACAAAACTGAGAATTAGTACTGTCATCCTTGTTAATCAAGCTGATAAGTGATGATAATATATCTATTGTTATAGTGCTGTCATTGTTTTTGTCATGTATTACCAGGACAAGTAAATTGTTAACGTAATTTACATAGAAGTATTGCAGCTTTTTGGAAAGATATATAAATATTGAATTCATGGTATTCCCTTTTGGGTACAATCTTAGACTTTTCCAGATAGTGGCTTTTAAGATTGTTTCAGATATATGTACGTGTGTCAATAAGCCACAAAACCATTAAGGTATACAGACTCCATGAATGTCTGAATTGTTAGTAGTTATCATAATTAAAAAAAACAAAGTAATAACAGATAGTTTATTTGATTTTATCTAGATGAAGAGAAAGAGCAATTTACACAGAGAAGATTTGTTGTTACCAAACAGCAAGAGGATGTGCCGTATAGAATATTCTAGGTTAGTTAGTACTTTATTTTACCTCTTTTTAATGTTACATGTTTACCAGTATTGACTTTTACTCATTATTCAGGTTTTAAAGTTTTGACTGTTCTGTAAATACAGGTTTTTCTGTACTGAATTTTCTAGTTGTATAGGTTTTACAGTTTTAACTGTGTGTTAATTAATTATTTTAACAAATTACCTTTAATTGGTTTCACTCTGACTAGTATAGTTTTAACTGATCTTTTAATCCAGGTTTTACTGTACTGAATTTTCTAGTTATACAGGTTATTGCTTTCACTCTGTCTTGTGTGGTGGATTTGTGGTTTCAGGCAAATACCTGCTTGTGCATGAAATAATCACATAAATTTACCATATTACCATAGTAATGATAGAACAGCTGGAAAACATTTAAAGGCTATAATAACAGTTGAAAATTGTCAGATTAATTATCTTAAATATATATATAGTGCTGCTGCATTGTTAAAAATCTGTGATAAGATTTCCTTTGTTCTTTTAGTCCACAGACCACATACAGTAATTTAAAAGCTCCTATGAAGAACTGCGTGTACCAGCTTCATCGGCAGAGGATTCCCTCAAAGGAGCACCCACCTTCAGGCCTAGCAGAATGGCTCAAACAGTTTCAGGTACTTTAAACTGATTAAATACTCCCAACACCACAATTATAATCAAAGCATAGAAATGCAGCATTTGTGTAGCATAATGATGTAGTTTTATAATTGTTGGTGTTAATAGTTTTGTGTTTACTCTTGTAGATAATCTTTATGCTGTACTGTTGTGATGAAAAAAGATTATCATCATATATTGTGTAAGAAAAATGTTGGAAACTGTTGTTTTTGTAATGGTAACAGTGAACTAGCTGTTCATTATCATATATATATAATAATTATAAGATAATGCTAAAAAAATTCTTACACTGAGAAGTAATGATTTTTAGAAGTAAATTAAATTATAATTAAACTTTCTCTATTTTATACTGTGCATGTATATTGTGTGTATGTTTTCATGTAACGTAGAAGTTTTCACACAGTTTATCATCTATTTTTTTATTTATTGAATGTTTGACAACTTCCTCTTATAATTATGAACATTTTATAATTTTATAATTATGTCAGGAATGGGGTAACGCTGAGAGATTAATGGCTGTAGATGAGCTGATTACGTTATGTGAGCCGACACAGGTTCGTCACATGATGCAGGTGATAGAGCCACAATTTCAACGAGATTTTATATCACTCCTTCCAAAGGAGGTAAGTTCTTAGTTTACCATCACGGGTGTCGAACATCCAGAATTGTTTGGATTTCCAGTTTTAGCCCCTCCTGGATTATTTTTGGGGTCTATCTAAAGCTGAGGAATTTGTAGGCGAAAGTCTTGGATGATTTGTGTGGATCTAATTGGTAACACACGACTTACTTTAATAATAAATTTACTAAGATAACCGATTCTTATTTATTCACTGATGATGATATTGAAACAACTATTCTTCTATAGCATTTCCATTGAAGATGACTTGTATTATTGGGTCTTTTACACTATGTAGTAAGATTAAATATTATTGCAAAAAACTGTGTATGTCCACTTATATAAAGTCATTTAATTCCGTATATACAGTGGAACCTGTCTAATCCGAACTCGTCCGGACCAGAAGAAAAGTTCGGATTAGAAAGGTTTCCGGATTAAAAAGGTTTCCGAATTAGAAGGTTTTTTTACATGTTTTTTCCATGTTATTTGCAAAAAAGTTTAAGAAAAGAAAACAGGAATGCATTTGAAATTGCAATTTAGATATTTTATTTTTGCAGTCTCTTATCGTTCATTTTAATACATGTGAATACAAAAATAAAGAATAAAAATAAATAAATAAGCAAAAATATTATGTCCTCAAGGGTAAGTTAACCTACGATGTTAAACAGGAGGCCGAGACATGATTAGATATTCGTACCAGCATTTGTCAATTGTTGTTTACTCTTATCCGATTCAGCGACTATCCGAATTCACTGACAGTTTCCATTAATTTTCATTACTTAATTACGTATCATTGAATCCAATACAAAGGATTAAAAGATATTTCTATTGCATTATATCAAAATATTTATAGAAGCTGACGAAAAACAATCAAATAAGCAATTATAGAAGATATCAAGGCAGGCTAAGTGTAATTTTCACACCTTCTTCACCCATTAATCAAGCGAAATATTTACCAGTTTGGTGTAGGTTCGATCCTCACTAGGGTCGAACTCTTTCATGTGAGGAAGCCATCCAGCTGGCTTACGGAAGGTCGGTGGTTCTACCCAGGTGCACGCTCGTGCCTGAAATAATGCCCGAAGGGGCATCTGGGGTCTTCCTCCACCAATAAAGCTGGAAAAAAAATCGACGAAAAAATCTCGGCTGGACGCTCTAGGATGGCCCGACTTGAGTGTACGGTCGCCCATATGGGCTGCTGGCGGCGACCTTAAATAAAACGCATTAAAAAAAAAAAAAAAAACCAGTCCTGCAAGATGCGCGATTATTTGTTATTTTGAATGAAGGTGTGACATTTGGCAAAATCTGTTCGGATCCGAGAGGTAAATTTTAGAGTAAAATAAGAACAAAAATTGAAAAAATCGTCCGGAATTCGGAGTAGACAGGTTCCGGATCCGAAAGGTTTTTTACTATTGAAAATAGAACGAATAAAATCGGGACCGTACACTTCGTTCGGATAAGAAAGGATTCCGGATTAGAAGGGTTCGGATTAGCAAGGCTCCACTGTATTTGTAATTGTCTCGTTCCTTTTAATATAAAGTTTTGTTATTTGCTTCCTAATATAAATAATTTTATCATGTAAACCCACATTCATTGGTACATTCCTATTAAGTCAATAAGGAAGTGAACAAATTATTTTTAGCTTTTATAATAATTGTTCCTGTTATTACATGTATTGTGAAAAAGATATTCAATTATCTACGTAATATTGTTAAATTGACACTTTGTGTTAAGTAAAAAGGAAAATAGGATCTTTTCCTCACAAAATACTATGCATATTACCTAATGAAATATATATTACAATAATGGAAACATTTATGTGAAAGAATTTGTATACATGTATGTTGATAAGTTTGTAATACAAGGATCTGTCATCTGTTATATTTCAGCTTGCATTATATGTTTTATCATTCCTGGAACCAAAAGATCTGTTACAAGCAGCTCAGACTTGTCGTTACTGGCGAGTTCTAGCCGAGGACAATTTATTATGGAGAGAGAAATGTAAGGAGGAGAATATAGATGAGTCATTAGTGTTTGGATCCAACCGGTTACGTAGACGTCAACCTTCACCTAAAAGTCCCTGGAAATCATTGTACATGAGACAGCATCAAATAGAACAGAATTGGAGAACTGGTCCTCTTAGGTCTCCTAAGGTAAACATTGTATTATACATGTAAATATTGGTGTTTACTAGATCTATGTACGGTATCTGTATATCTATGGGTTCAGACCCACATACAGGGCCACATTATCTGTCAAAAATATTGATAACTAGTATTATTAGCTTGAGAGCTGTTGTACTCATCTAGGTGTCAGGGTCAGGGTCGCACTTTGGTAAGTTTTTGCATGCAAGTTTGTATCTCCAAAACTACTGAAGGGAATGGGTTGAAAAACCACTCACTTACTTGAGAGCATAATAGGAGATGTCTGTTCAATGCCCATTACTCTAACATGGATTTTGACAGAATTATGGCACTTCTTTAACTTCTACATTATTCAGGCTGTTGTTTTACTATCAAGCACTGAGTATTGTAAAGCATGCTGTTTTATTGACAGCTGTTGTTTTAACATTATGTTTATATTTTTCAGTTATTAAAAGGTCATGATGATCATGTGATTACATGTTTAGAATTTTGTGGTACCCGTGTTGTTAGTGGCTCAGATGATAATACTTTAAAAGTATGGTCAGCTTTAACTGGCAAGGTATGTAAATCTATATATAAATCAACATGTATAAATTTTTTCTGGAATTCAGTTGTAATGACTCACCAGGTATTTTATAGTACTGGAATGCATTACATTATGTATTTTGTGTATCTTTGATGTAAAAACATTCAACTCTATTTGTTTCTCCTAATTAAATAGCTAGTGAATGTACAGTAGGAAAATATTATGGTCAGTTGCAGTAAGTACAGTAGAACTTTGGTGAGTTGAAGTTGAAGGGACTTTAACATAATGGGACTTTAAATCATGAATTGGTCTCAGTTTAATGACAAAATTTCGGGTGATATATTTCAACAAGCGAGTTATAAAAGATGCAACAGAAAGGAAAGCAATAACTAAACTCGAAAAGTGAGACTCATATAGGTTTTAATAAAGACTATATTGGGGGAATAAAATCAAGAATTTCCCTTCACTTTGACACATCAAGAAAATCGACTAATCAAAGTTCAACACACAAAAGTATTACTGAATTGTACTGATTGAAGCTTGAAGTCTCAAAACCCTTTTCTGAAACAAACTTGTACTGATGACATTTGAGCCTGCCTATTAACCCCATATGTATTACTGATGAAAAAAGAAACATTAATTTATATTTCAGTGTTTACGTACGTTAGTAGGTCATACAGGTGGGGTGTGGTCATCTCAGATGCAGGGTAATGTAATTATAAGTGGCTCCACTGACAGAACATTGAAAGTATGGAATGCAGATACTGGCCAGTGTATGCATACATTATATGGTCACACCTCTACTGTAAGATGTATGCATCTCTGTGGCAGCAAGTAAGGCTTTTACATGATTTTACTGTAACCTTGTGTTTGTGTCCTTGTCTGGTTTATTTATAGTGTTGTTACCTATTTATTGATTATCACAGGTTTGCTATAAATGGAATTCACATCAAAGTCTTGATAATGAAAATTAGCAATACACTTTATATATATACGTACGTATACGTACTTTTCAAATAAACATGTAGTAAACCAGCATATTTATTATCATACAGTGAGTCATATCTGGTACAATATTGTCTCATTTTACTACCAACCATATAATGCAGTCAAATTAATGTAACAATTGTTCTTTTTTGGTAATGATTTTTGGCATATACTGATAATCACTTTTGATTAATGCAGATCAAAGATTTCTGTGCCCCCAGTATTGGGGGGTGGGGGCATTGTCTGTTCTCTTTTGTGTCACATATACCTCAAAAAGTATTAGACCTAGAGTCATGAAACTTTATAGGAATATCTGTCAGCATGTGTTGATGTACACATTGGTGTTTGTGTGTAGATTTATTCAGTATTTGTAGAGTTATTGTCCTTAAATCATTGACAATTTGCAATTTTCAACTTGTGACACATGTAGCTAAAATGTATTTGACCTAGGATCTTGAAACTTTACAGGAATATTGCTCATTTTTTTTCTTCTTAAATTTAACATTTTAGACCTTCTGAAGGGGCTTTTTTTTTCAAGGAAAGACATTTCATTGTGAGAAAAAAAGAAACATTTTTGGTCTTATTAAAACGTATTTTACCCATATAAATCCAATAATCACAAATTATATATTTCATGAACAAACATAAAACTCAACAAAATCAGTACATTTTATATAATATACAAAGTAAAATGTTGTCTGTGAAGATATACGTCTTAGCTAATTAAACATTGTTGATATTTTGTAGAGTTGTAAGTGGATCTAGAGATGCTACACTGAGAGTATGGAATGTTGATACAGGTACATGTTTACATGTGTTGATGGGGCACGTGGCTGCCGTGCGCTGTGTACAGTATGATGGTCGCCGTGTTGTGAGTGGAGCATATGACTATATGGTTAAAGTATGGGACCCGGAGTCAGAAACTTGCTTACATACACTACAAGGACATACAAATAGAGTCTATTCTCTACAGGTATTTGTATATATGTACACTTACATCTATTATTTACAAATTTCAAAAGTGTAGAATCCACAAGTAAGTTAAAATCTGTTTAGAATCTGTTCAAACTTGAAAAAAAAAAAACTTTTTTTTTTGTGATCACTATAAATTACCACCTATAGTCATGACATGTAGGATAAATTTAGAATTATCAAGTAAGTTTATTAGGATCAATTTAAACATTCAAAATGTAAAAGAAGAAAAACAACAACAATTATTTCACTTTCTTCTGCTTTTTTAAGGTAAAAATGTAGGTTGAAATTTCAAGTAACTTTTAACAGTGTGAACCCTTAAAATTTGAGCTTAAAAATATACATGGAAAAACTAAATAAATGAGTTACGTTTGTAGGGCAGATATTTGAGACTTGTCAGATGAGGAGACATGAGTGTCACAATTTTAAGTTTATTGTTACATAAAACCAAAGATGGTAGTTGATCAGGTTACTGACACAGTGTCATTAACTTATACCTTGGATTAAAGTTTCCAACTGTACTTTCTGAGATAGAGGAATACAAAAAGCCATATTACTCCTGTATATTGTAGTCATGGCCATTTTGTTTATCAATGAAACTTTAATGTAACTTTCTCTCATTTTGTAGTTTGATGGTGTACACATAGTGAGTGGCTCACTGGACACATCAATTCGGGTATGGGATGTGGAAACAGGGAACTGTTTACATACCCTGATTGGTCATCAGTCATTGACCAGTGGGCTTGAGCTGAAAGATAACATTCTAGTCTCGGGAAATGCTGACTCTACGGTCAAAGTATGGGATATTACTACAGGCCAGTGTTTACAGACATTACAGGGTATGTATTATTTAATAATAGCTTTTTAAGATGCATTTTAGACATTCAGAGTGAATAATTTCTACAGTTTTTATGTTACAATATGTAATATCATAGTGTACCAAACAATAATGTATTCAGTTTGTGGTTGTTACAAGAATATAGATTAGTTCCACAGATTTCAAGTGTGGTCTACTCTCTATAAGCACAGATTTTGAGCTACCTGATCATATACAGGTTTTTTTGTTAAAAGTTATGTCAGTTTTTTGTATGACCAGCTATTTATTCCACACATGCTTATATACATTATAAATGTATGAATTAGCAGCTGTAAAAAATATACAACTTTATTACCTGAAGAAACTGTGTATGATATGTCTTGTAATTCAGTGTGAGAGATTATTGTAATATTTCATACCATGCTAGCATTGATTCGTCAAATATTACTATTGTAGTGCATTCAATTCTGTCAATTATATTAAGGGAATTTTACTTAACCTACTTAAACAGACATGTTTGTTCACCTGTAATATCTTTCGTTAGAAATGTAAGTTTACTTGCAAGAATTGGAATCCTGGGCTCTGATTGGATTTTAAATAGTGTCAATAAGATGACAGTATTGTAGTGGTCATTTGCAAGAAGATTTTTGTTAGATTGTCTTTCTTTCTAATTCTTACTCTTGATCACAAAAAATGTGTTTGAATGCATTATCATCAGAATACAGGCTTTCATTGATATCATTTACATAGTAAGTATTAAAATGGAAAAGCTCATTGGTAGTATATTTAATTTTAATGATAAGTATAAATAAGCTCTATACAGATTACAGTACACAATTCATATGATTTTCCTTAAAAAATCTGAAAGTTCAACATTAAAACAATTGTAAAATTATTTGATTTAATTTTTTCAGGTTCAAACAAGCACCAGAGCGCAGTAACTTGTTTACAGTTCAACAAGAAGTTTGTCATTACCTCATCTGATGATGGTACTGTAAAAATCTGGGACCTTCGAAGTGGAGATTTTCTCCGTAATCTTGTCACACTTGATAGTGGTGGCAGTGGTGGAGTAGTCTGGAGAGTGCGTTGTAGTAACACTAAACTTGTATGTGCCGTTGGTAGTCGGAACGGTACAGAAGAAACTAAATTACTTGTGTTGGATTTTGATGTTGAAGAAAAGAAGGATAAATTACCCATCATTGAAAGAGTGTGATTAAATGTCTTGTTTTCTAGGATGTTTTTAACGACAAAAACACACTTGTAAAGGTGTACTGTGTTTTAAATGTGCTGTATTTTATTTTAAAAAATGTCTACATAAATAGGCTTTTACAAGAATCATTTACCCTATTACAAGTAGAGAAACTGATAGCGACAGCATGGATCCTGATCAGACTGCGTGGATACGCAGGCTAGTCTGGATCCATGCTTGTCGCAAACGGACTATGTTGGTTTTGTCGTGACGCAGCTTATATATGGATTACAGTATCTGGGATTTGAAGTGTTTTGTACCTCTGTGTGCTAAATTTGTTTGAAAGCTTGGGGTCAACAACGTACAGATGCGTCATGAATGACATTATAAATAATTTAATATATAAGTAAATACCTTTGTAAAAGGTAGAGCCAGTATGTACAGTGACTATTTCAGTTTAATTTGAAGTCAGGTTGTAATGCCATGTGCTGCATTGAACATACTTGATTTGTAAAAATTGGAATCCAAAAACATCTAATGTATATATTATATATTGATGATCCCATTATTTTATGTGAAAAAGAAAACAGTGTAAACATATTACAGGTTGAAGTAGGTTTGACCATGATTTGAAAACTACAATTTCAAGTCATTGATTTTTATTAACGTATTATGTTGTTTTTTTTATTAATACCTGTATTCTAAAGTTAACTGTATTCAACTGGTAAGATTTTTATTTGCCAGTAAAGGTGGGGATTTATTAAGATAATTAAAGTAGATAAAAATACCTGCTCAAAGTGTGAAAGGAGATGGTGAATATGACAGTAATGAGTGTTAGTTGTTGTAAGCTGATGTGTGTAATGACATTCCACCATGTAATGGCCTGTATTTCAGAGAAATGTTGAGTTGCCAGTAAAGGCATGACTTACAATCTGCTAGTTGTGTCAGTTTAAATCATTCTAGTGCTATATTATTGTATTGAACTGTCCTGTTATAGGTTTGTAACCAATCCATTGTCAATTATTAGGGTACAGATATCAAAGTACAGAAATTCAGCTGCCAACAATGAAAGACTTTGGTCAGTGAACATATAATGAGGTGATTGGCTGGACTCTGAACTTGTCACATTTTTCTGATGTATCTCTTAATAGCTGTTAATGATACTTAAAATTAATCTACTTGATTTTATACTTTGATACAAATTGTTGTAAATTCTCTTTTTATGCCCCCACAGAGTGGGAGCATATAGCGTTGCACTTGTCCGTCCGAGTGTCAGTCCGTCCGTCAGTCCGTCAGTCCGTCAGTCCGTCCGTACGTCCCGAAATCTTGTGAACGCAACTCCTCTTAAACCGGATGGCAGATTTTGCTTAAACTTACAGGGATGAACAACCTTAATGTGTAGATGGTAGTAAAGGAAGGAATTTTCGCTGCGACCAAATTTAACAGAATTATGGCCCTTTGTTGATTTTTTCACTATATACTATGTAGAAATTTTGTGAACGCAACTCCTCTTAAACCGCATGGCAGATTTTGCTTAAACTTACAGGGATGAACAACCTTAAGGTGAAGATGGTAGTAAAGGAAGGAATTTTTGCTGCGACCAAATTTAACAGAATTATGGCCCTTTGTTGATTTTTTTTCACTATATACTATGTAGAAATTTTGTGAACGCAACTCCTCTTTAAACCGCATGGCAGATTTTGCTTAAACTTACAGGGATGAACAACCTTAAGGTGAAGATGGTAGTAAAGGAAGGAATTTTCGCTGCGACCGAACTTTACAGAATTATTGCCCTTTGTTGATTTTTTCACTATATACTTATAGAAATTTTGTGAATGCAACTCCTCTTAAACCGGATGGCAGATTTTGCTTAAACTTCCAAGGATGAACAACCTTTATGTGTAGATGGCAGTAAAGGAAGGAATTTTCGCTGCAACCAAATTTAACAGAATTATGGCCCTTTGTTGTTTTTTTCATTATATACTATGTAGAAATTTTGTGAATGCAACTCCTCTTAAACCGGATGGCAGATTTTGCTTAAACTTCCAGGGATTAACAACCTTAATGTGTAGATGGTAGTAAAGGTAGGAATTTTTGCTGCGACCAAATTTATCAGAATTATGGCCCTTTGTTGATTTTTAGTTTTCAACTTGTGGCACATGTAGTCCAAAAAAAATTTGACCTAGAGTCATAAGATTGACAGAACAGTGGTGTGTGGGGGCATCCGTGTCCTATGGACACATTTCTAGTTTTAATCATGCCCCTAATAATTAGTCTTTTTGAAAACAACAACACAGAAAATGTATACAACACAGAAAATGTATAAGATCATTACAAAAACAAACCTTTCAAAGCTTATTTCATAAAAGAAAAACATATTTCTGATCAGATTAAATGTAATCATAGATATATGTTTCCAGCATTTCTGTTCTATGCTTGACTAATCAAAGAATAGAGAGAGCTATCGTACGCATCCACAGTGTTGGTCTCGCTTTTACAGTTTGGTCAAGTTCATGAGTGCAAGTTGGTATATTCAAAACTGAAGAAGGGAATGGGTTGAAATTTCACAAACTTGTTCTCTTTGATTATCTAGAACAAAAAATTGGCACAGGTCCAAAACTCTGAGTTACCTTTCACAGAGTTATGCCCCTTTTCATACTATCAAGCACTGAGAGCAGTCAAGTACCGACATACAGACAGCTGTTGTTGATGTTTTTACGCAGATTAATTGTAATTAGACAGAGAGTTATAGACACTAGTAGATATGAGTCATGCCCTGAGAATGTTTTCACTGTTTGTATGAGATTATATAATGTATGAGCAGGAATGACTGTATGAAGTGAGATTAGTATAAATGTTATAATCAGCATTTTGATTTTATCCTGTACTGATAAAATGGCATATCACACACACACACATGTTGCATATTGTAACTTGCATAGCAGATTTTTATATATGTGAGGGTTCATTCTGGATACTTGGAAGTTATTAATTGTAAAATAATAACGTTTTTGTATTCCTTTTTGTTTTTCCCTTATAATAGACATGTTATCTTCCTATCTTATTTATGTGTTACAGTATTCTGTATTAACCTGAGGACCACACTGTTAATTTATAGCCAAACTTATACAATATAAACATAAAAAACATATACAATATATAAACATGGGTTGACTTTCTGGTATAATATGTAAACAATTACAAAAACAAGTTTAAATCTGAATCTTGTAACATGTATGTAGGTTGATTACTAAAGAGATGATATTTATTTTCACTGACTATGATTTAGTCATAGAAATTAATTATAGGAAAAAGTTGAATAGTTTTTTTTTTAACAATGTTGTGATTGTTAAAAATATTTAGTAGACATTAAAAGTTAGTAGAAAATCCGCAGCAAGTCTTCTGATATAATCTAGGTTTTCAAAAAAATAAAGTTTTAAATTGAAAAAGGATATATATATTGTTTTATTTCTCAAGGTCATTGTTTTGGAGATCTTTGTCAATATATAAACTTGAACATTACTTATATATTGTAATTAGTCAGTCAGTAGATGATGTTTTAACAAAGTGTCACACTGCTATTTGCCACCTGAGACATTTGCTTTAATATCAGGAAAGGGGCTTATTTTTAGCTCGACTTTTCTATGAAAAGGGGAGCTATCCTACTCGCCCCGGCGTCGGCGTCGGCGTTAGCGTTGGCGTCACACCTTGGTTAAGTTTTTCGTACCACCCCACTTTATTTCAGAAGTATTACAAGTATGGCTTTTGAAACTTACCATACTTGTTTTACCATCATAACCTCCATCTACAGACAAGAGTACATAACTCTGTCAAGGTTTTTGACAGAATTATGGCCCTTTTTTAGCTCGACTTTTTCTATGAAAAGGGGAGCTATCCTACTCGCCCCGGCCGTCGGCGTTAGCGTTGGCGTCAACAACCTTGGTTAAGTTTTTCGTACCACCCCACTTTATTTCAGAAGTATTACAAGTATGGCTTTGAAACTTACCATACTTGTTCACCATCATAACCTCCATCTACAGACAAGAGTACATAACTCTGTCAAGGTTTTTGACAGAATTATGGCCCTTTTTTGACTTAGAAAGTGTATTGAGCTTGGTTAAGTTTTTTGTACCACCTCACTTTATTTCAAAACCATTGGAGGTATTGCTTTGAAACTGACCATACTTTTTACCATCACGACCTTCATCAACAGACAAGAGGACATAATCTGTCAAGGTTTTTTGACAGAATTATGCCCCTTTTTGACTTAGAAATACATTGAAATATGGGTAAAATCCACTTATTGCCTTAACCCTTTGAGATATTGCTTTGAAACTTTTAATGCTATTTCACATCATTACCCCCATCTGTACGCAAGAGAAGGTAACTCTGTCAAGGATTTGTTTTAAAAATTAAGGCCTTTTATCGACTTAGAATCTTGGTTAAGTTTTTAGTACCAGTCCACTTTTTGACTGAACTGTTTGAGATATTAATTTGAAAGTTGGAATACTTGTTTACAATCATGATTCCCAAACATGTCCAGGAGAAGGTAATTCTGTCAAAGATTTTATTTGAATTATGGCCCTTAACTGTCAATGTTTTGTATTATAGGCAAGCACTAAAAAACTTAAAAAATCTAAAAAAATTCATTCCTATCCACTTGTTCACTTTACCATAAATTATGTCATATAAACATTGCTGTAATATTCAAGGGTATCAAACAACTAGTTCACTTTAAAAATACAGAGATTCTTGTATTGCCTTTTACTGCAAAAACTTTTTTTATTGGCAAGCAATAAAAAAGTCGAGCGCGCTGTCTTACGGACAGCTCTTGTTTAAAATGTTTTTCACATTTGAGGGATTTTTTCTATGTAAAATGTTTACTATCATGCTATAACTCTATAGACATTTCTATAAAGTTTTTTAGTTAGTATGACTGTTATACTGCCTGTGGTACTATGTATCAGAGGAAGAAGACAGGCTTTATTTATGAACACTAGATTTACTTGACATGTTTTATAGTTTAGTGGATCTCTAAAGCAGGAGATCAAGGTCGGATGTGTTAGATTTTGGTAGTATAGATGTGACCAATGG